CTACCTCTCCCTGCCTCTCCCTGCCTCTCCCTGGCCTCTCCCCGGCTCTCCCTGCCTCTCCCCGGCTCTCGCTCACCTCTCCCTGCCTCTCCCTGCCTCTCCCCGGCTCTCGCTCGCCTCTCCCTGCCTCTCCCTGCCTCTCCCTGGCCTCTCCCTGCCTCTCCCTGGCCTCTCCCCGGCTCTCGCTCGCCTCTCCCCGGCTCTCGCCCGCTCGGAGCTGCCTTGCTCTGAGCCAGACTCATCGTCAGCCTGTTCTTATATTAAATAAACTACGTTTACTACACAGCATGTGTACAATGATTTTTGTTACTCAGAACGTTACTACTTATACAAATAATATTACTAATAACAATAATGACAATAAAACAGCAGCAGCAGATACATGACTTCTCTTCATGACAGAGACAGACCCTCTGCTGCTGCTGCTCCTCGTCTCCTGATTGGTTGAAGCCCGCGTCAAAGCTTCAAAAGCTCAGCTTTGCTCAACTTCGGCGTCAAAGGAATTGTTGTGATACGCGAGCGTTTCGCGCGTCAAAAGCTTCAAGTGAGCGCGTAGTACGCATTATTTAGGGTGTTTTTTTACTCACTTTTGTCTCTCCCACGACGTTATTCCTCTCTCCTACACCGTCGTTAGTTATTTTCAAATGGCCAATTATGCAAATTAGGCGATGACGTCATTTAGCGACTTCTAGCCAATAGCTACTTTCCTTACTGAGGAGTTGGCAACACTGTGCGCACCCCGCAGGTAAACAAAGATGAACATTTAGATGAACTAAATGATGGGTGCGTTGGAAGACTTTGCAGATACAGCGATAGAATGGTTCTAAAACATTCAAACTCATGCAGAAATATCAACCACGTTACACCGACTAGGTTTGTCCAAATGTCAAGTCATCAGCTGAGTCATGTCTCTTCTTTTGGATACAGTGGTTAATCACGAAAGCAAACTTTTTGAAGTGGCGTTATTTCATCGTATAGGGCTCACAGAAAGGTATTCTGAGTAAATGTATTCATTAAACATGGATCATGTTCCTGCCCAGTATATACTGTACATACATATATTTTTTTTTACATATCAGCCGCCTTAAAACTATTGCTGCTCCATCTCTTTTTCCTGGAATAATTTTATTGCAACATTCAAGAGGGATTCTGTCTCCCGAGGCTCAGGAATCACAGCTTGTTGTGTTTTGGCAAATTATGAAGGCCAAAGACTAAATTCATCATGTATGTAAATCTTCTGTGTGTCTGTTCCAGTGTAAATATTTTTTATTAGTTTGTTCCCAAATTAAAACACACTTGGACACAATTCTGTAATTTTTTTTTCTAAATTGTGTTGAATCGCAATGGAAAACCCGTTAAAACAAATACTAAACTATTAGTGGATTATGTATCAATAGATTTATGAATTAGGAAATGACATTCTTAACTAAACAAGACTGTAAAATGACAAGTTGTGTATTTGAATGTACCTTTACAGAACAACTTACACCTCAGACTTCCTTTCAGCAGCAACATGGGTCCAATTTTATTTAGACTTTACTAAGGACTTACATGCAAGCACAGGATCCAGAGCTAAGAATGAAAGAATAATAAAAAAAAAGCTGTGTTAAAAAAAGACACATAATCACATATTTACAGCAAGTCACACATACAAAGAAGCCAGTGACTCCAAAGTTTAGAGGTGAACCTGACTGAGCTAATGTAAGGGCAAACCAGGGACTGTACAATACTATTAGGTAACATCATGCCTCTACACATAAACCGATAGTAGCAGTGACGCAGAAAAGGAGCGCACCCTGCACTCAGCAAACATCTGACTGGACGACTGTGTCTGGGATCTTCAGCAGCCTCCTCATTGAGTCATAGGAAACTGTTCACCTCTGCAGACTGAGCTGCTTGTAGCTCCGCCACAGTTGGTCTGTGAATAAAGGAGCCCAAAAAGACTGGAACAAGGTTTTTACATTCACAGAACACATGTTAGACTTCCTAACCAGCATTTTAGATTGACCATAGAGTTTACATCTCTATCTGTGAGGTCACTGCGTGTGTAATGCCCATTAAGACCAGGACAACTGGATTTAAGAACAGTTTTTACACTTTCAAATGTGACAGAACATAATGTACACTGACGAGTACGTGCTTTTTCATGCAATGATTCTAATTTTGTAACATAAATTTACAATGATAAACACGAGTTGAAAGTTTAAAATGTAAAGGAACAAAAAGGAGATTTGTAGATCAGTTATTAATTTTATTGCATTGACATAAACACATCCATCTTTGCAGATCACTGGTACAGGCCAAGGCTGGGAGTAGTGTGAAGTCTGAAACCTTTACCTGCTGCACACCCAGTGAGATCTAAAACAGAAAAGTGGGTTTAGAACAGACATATAATTATTACTTGTTATAACTTAACTATCTTATAAAGTCAGCAGAAGAGAAATAGTAACCACCAAACAGAAAGATGCTATGCTAGTCTTCTATCAGGACAGGAACTCAAGCTGAACATGAGCCCAGCGGCTTTGACTGTTTCAAACCTGCAGTCTTTCTGACTGTTTCAAAGCTGCAGTCTTTCTGACTGTTTCAAACCTGCAGTCTTTCTGACTGTTTCAAACCTGCAGTCTTTCTGACTGTTTCAAACCTGCAGTCTTTCTGACTGTTTCAAACCTGCAGTCTTTCTGACTGTTTCAAACCTGCAGTCTTTCTGACTGTTTCAAACCTGCAGTCTTTCTGACTGTTTCAAAGCTGCAGTCTTTCTGACTGTTTCAAAGCTGCAGTCTTTCTGACTGTTTCAAAGCTGCAGTCTGAGGGCTCCTCGTTTCTCTTCATAAGCCTGAAGCATCTAGCTCTAACTACTGTCCCTCGACAATAATTGAGAATGAAGCAGAAACAAAGCACAATTGAATGGTTAAGGTACATCTAGCATCATCTTTTATTTACTAAAATTTAGCATGATTACTTTCACCAATACACAAACATATCATGTTCTTATATAATATGAAAGTCTATAACATACATTTATAATAATAAAGCACCCAAATTAGGTGCATTTGTTACATGTGTAAGTGTTTCATGTATGTGCTTAAGCTAAATGTGTCGTAGCTAATGCTAACTTAGCTGTTAGCGCTAGTTGCTAAGTTATGTCTTACCTTGACACTTGTGTATATATTTTTCATCAAAGAACCCCTTCTCTCTTGAATCTGAGAATTCTCATCTGCGATGGTCTCTGCAGCAGCGAACGAAAAAGCTGGTAATCTGACTGATGTTGAGGAGAGTTTTAAGAGACATTTGTCCTCCGTGTGTGGAGCCCTTAAAGGGCTCCACACACGGAGGACAAATGAGAGCGATCAGCGAAACTCAACGCTGTCGCTCAGATAACATGACAGACGGGGCGCGATGCGGCTTGACGACAGCGTCGAAAAGTTGAGCCGATTTCAACTTTCTGGGATCGCGTCGCTGACCTGCGCGTGCACGATACATGCACGAGCAGGAGGATTTCACACGCACGTTTTTCGCCCGTCGCTGAGCAGGAGGCTCGCTAGCGATTGACACTATGTCGCGCACGTCCCATTGAAATGAATGGAGGCGATGCGATGTCGCCTCCCGTGTGTCTAGCCCATAATGGGCCCGACACACGGGAGGCGACAAATGAGAGCGATCAGCGAAACTCAACGCTGTCGCTCAGATAACATGACAGACGGGGCGCGATGCGGCTTGACGACAGCGTCGAAAAGTTGAGCCGATTTCAACTTTCTGGGATCGCGTCGCTGACCCGCGCGTGCACGATACATGCACGAGCGGGAGGATTTCACACGCACGTTTTTCGCCCGTCGCTGAGCAGGAGGCTCGCTAGCGATTGACGCTATGTCGCGCACGTCCCATTGAAATGAATGGAGGCGATGCGATGTCGCCTCCCGTGTGTCGAGCCCATATAAGGTGCGATCCAAGTACCTGGAGGCGACACTTCCTGTTCTCGTGACAAACGCGCACTTTCGAATCACTTCCGGGGGAGTCGGAAGGTGGCGGTAATGCACCTCAAGGTTGTTTGCCAACCGCCAATAAACCTCAATAGAAGAAGAAGAAGAAGACTTCCGGGGGACGTTTGTGTTTCAAAGGAAAATCGCAAAATGTAATTTTGACGGTCATTATTGGTTTACTGCATTTTCGTTTTAATTGGATCCACAGAAAACAAAAAAAAACAAGCCAATATTTCAATTTTGCATTAAATTCAAATATTGAGAATCAAAAACATCCCTCGTTATTTGTTTTTTCAATGTTGGTTTTATTTAGAAAATCAAAAGAACGAATGATACACGGATTCAAGAGGCATGTTCGCTTACAAATGCTTTTATTTAATGTTCTTTTTGTTAATAAAGTCAGTCAAAAATGTTTAAATGTGACATAAAAAGAGGGAGTTCAACAAGGCCACAATTGTGATACTGTTATTTCATACGGAGTGTAAAAAGTTTCAGTCTTGTCAAAAATGTCTATTGGAATTCAGCATGATACAGTACAGCGTTGTTGTCTTAATAAATAATTATTATCAAATGCAAAACTGTAAACATAAGAGTACCAAGGGGTGAGTGCGCCGCAGCACAAAGGAGACTTCGTACAGTCTACACAGTCCAGTCTTGCATTGATCCCCAGGCACCGTTTTGCACAAAGATAATGAGTCGACGCTGGTTTTAATGTTCCTATAATATTCAGGAGCATTAAAATGTAAGTTTATAAATATGTGACCAACAAAAAGGAAAGTACGATGATATTTGCATTTAGTATTGATGGTGATGTCACACAGTAGCACCTCAGAAAAGGTTCTTGTGCAGTGCCCCACTATTCCTCCTTTGGAAAGTTCACATTTCTGTCGGACAGAGCAATAAATAATCCGCCTCTTTAGTCAGCTCCTCTGTAGAGTCATACCCTGACCAAAGTGGCCATGCATTGGATGCATTCAATAATAAGTTATGAGTGGTACTGAGGGCCAGGATCAGTGCCTGGGGTCAGGAGAGCACAGGTCCGCTGCTGTCCTCCCCAGATGGACCGTCCCTCTCACAGGACCAGTGAGAGTCTGGAGAGCGAGACTTCAGACCTGAGTTTTTCAGCACCCGAAACAGCAACCTGAAATAACCACCAGAGGGCAGTGTGAGACACACTTCTTCATATTGACAGTAAACAGTGGCACCACGACCCACTCCATTCACTATCACTATGTTTATTATGTGTTGTTTGACTCATAATATTTTCACATAAAACAAGTCTTTGTCATTTTAAAGGCAGGTTACATTGGTGCGACACATGTGGGCTCAGTTACCTGGGCAACAGAGCTGCTACAGTAGTTAAAGTGCAGACTAAGTAGAAGGATGGCTGGGACATCTGCAGCGTCTCCACTCCCAGAGGGTTAGTGGGAGGGCTGCCGGTCACACACAACACACTGATGAGCAGCACAAAAGCCAGGTAGGAGCCCGCACTGAGCACGAATACTAATCCATGGATCCACGTCTGCAGAACAAAACAAAGTGCCATCAGAAAGAGATATCTTCAAACACAAACACAGAACACAGCAGCACTGACCAGAGTGTGGCTCTCCACGACCTGGTGCAGCAGGATGATGAGCAGCGCAGAGGCGTTTATGGGCGAGCCAAAGGACAGCTCTGCAATGTCCGAGTCTCTGTAGGCCTGAAAGGTACATGTCAGTGTCTACTGCCACCACACATTGGAGGACAGACACGGTGGACTTACAAAGTATGGAATGAAGAAGCAAACAAGGCTCTGGTAAAATGCATCCAGAATGTTTAACCAGAACATTAAGGGGTCATAGGCCTGTAAAAATTTAAACGAGAAATATTACACATTATTTTTGGCCATTATATACACTGTATATTTACTTTGTGATAAATCCCTATGCTACCACCAGCAGGAGTATAATAAAGAACGTCATTACAATTCAATTTATTTTTGTAATAATCCATCAACTTTCATTTGTGGAGCACCTTTCCTACACAAGGCAACACAAAGTGCAAGTTGTCGAATCACCAACAACAGATCAGAGACTCAAACAGTTAATTTCAGCTGAGACATTTATTTCGTTTTAAAAAGGCAGAAAAAACTGACAAATAAAGATTAAATAGATTTAATCTTTATTTGAGTAAATTCTGACTGTCTTGACATATTTTCCAATAGGACAAAGCCATTTAGTCTCATTTCAAGAACTATTGACATTTCTTGTATCTTTTCAAAACAAGATAATTTTGCTTGTCCCAATGGCAAATCTTGTATTAAGGAAATCAAAAAGTGCTCAAATTTTGATAATGTTTTGCCAATTTTGACATCAATTTGCTATAGTGCATTAAGGAAATGGCCATAGAGAGCTGGCCTCTTTATTACCACGTCCACAAAGTCAATCATTTTCATCTTCACTACGACCTCCTCCTCTAGATTGTGATGCAAATTGAATAAACTAGGCCACTGACCTTGGGAGCCCTTACACTCCGGTAGAGCTCAGGATAGGCCATGAGAATATGTGGGGGAGTGTCCTGATCCAGAACGCCATAGATCAGAGGAGGCACAGAGGTGAAGATCAGGTTAAATAAGATGAGAACCCACGCATTGGACATGACACTCCCAGAGAAACCACAGAAAAACTGGAACCAAAACAGTAGGTTCACGTACATCTGGAACACACAGATAAAAGATAAGAGAAGCTTTATTAGTCCTACACTGGGGAAATGTCAATGTTGCAGATACAGGACAGTAGTAAGAGCACACAACATACACAATATTAGTACGGTGCAAAAAGAGATGAAAAATAAGTTATGGTTCTATCAATATATAGTGTAAAGGAGTCTCTAAAGAGCGCAGAGGAGAGAGGTCCACTTTCTGAGCAGGTGGAGCAGTGCACAAACTAACCACGTTCTTGTAGATGAAGTAGAGGGTCATGTTGGTCAGGCGTGTGTAACACCAGTGGCCATGAACCAGCAGCAGCTTCCTGAGGTGTTTGAACCTGGAGATGGCGAAGTCACTGGACATCACAGCCTGAGAGAAGCACAGCCTGGTGATCTTTGTGCTCATTATACACACATAGTATAAACAGTATGTGATAGATTTAAGCTTTACCTGCATTCCCTCCTGACCTGAAATCCCAACCCCAACATCAGCCACTTGGATCATGCTCACATCGTTGGCTCCATCACCTAAAAACATTAAATACAGACTCATAAAAACACACAAGCTTATGTCTGCACGGCACAAAATAATGTGAGGAAATGTTTGAAGTATATTTTGCATTACAACCAGAAGGGGCAAGCTCACTGTTTATGCAGAGTCATATCTCTTAAATTGGTCTTTGTTTAGTTGTATCATAAAGTAAAACTCTGTATGTATGTGCAGTGTCATACATGTGGTATTTGTATGCCGGCTCTGACCAACAATAATCCAGGGTGGGCCTTACCCACAGCCAGGGTCATGACGTTCAGCTTGTCCCGGACCAGCCGGACCACTTGGCTCTTCTGCAGCGGAGTGGATCTGCAGCAGATCACTGCTTTGCACTGTTTGCTCAGCTCTAAAAAGTCCTTCTGGAGCTCGGGCTGAAGCGCCCATTCAAGAGTGAGGCCATCAATGACCAGCACAGAGCCAGCTGTGCCTGTGGGGGCCGAGTGTGCCCTGGGGACCTCTGTGTCGGAGACTTCAGGACCGTTTGTGATTAAACAGAGAAAGTCCTGCAATAGCACTGCACAGCTCTCCTGAAAAACATCACATGTGGAGCTTTACGTCACAGAACGTCACAAACATACTTAACGTTCTCTCAGTGATCAGGAAAGTGCTACTGCGCTGAGAGGCAGGTTGCTGACCTTATCCTCACAGTTGGCGGTCAGCAGCTGGTCAGAAGGGCACAGTAGTTTACAAGCAAAGGCTATGTTGATGGCAGTCTCCTGTTTGTCCCCTGTGAGGATCCATACTTTGACATCAGCCCTCTGCAGAGCCTCGATGGTTTCAGAGACCTCCTCCTGCAAGCGGTCCAGGATACCTGTGGCCCCTAGGAACACAGCACACAGGTACTTTACCGTATGCTAGTGCGTTTGTGTGTGCACATGTTTTGGTTGTCTGCATGCAAGTGCCTGTGTGTGAGTGTGTGTCTGCCTGTAAGTGCCTGTGTGTGAGTGTGTGTCACTGTTACCCAGTAGAGTCAGATTGGTCTCCAAGGCCAGAGCGGCGCGCAGCAGCAGCTCCTCTCTGTTCTCGATGCTGCTCTCTGCCAACAGTTGAGTCTTGAGCCACACCTCGTACTCCTCCTCCTCCATCGTCTGCTCAGACAGAGGAGCAACTGTGTTTAGAGGCAGATGTAGATGTGTGCTTTTAGTGTCACTCTGACCTTTGTGGCGATGCACAGTGTGCGCAGTCCTTTTCTTGCGTAGCTGTTCAAGTGCTTCTGCGTCTGTGATCGGATCTGGCTGTAGACATCGGGAGCAAGTTGCAAAGCTGAAAACACACAAGACATTGATAGAAGTATTGTACGTTATATTTTTATGTCAAAGGGCTGTGTATCATGTAAAGTTGAGACAGCCTCTGGAGTAGGAGAACATCAAACCCAGAGCAGATGGACGTGTACCTGTGGGGGAGCGGGTCAGCTCCATGAGGACAGAGTCGGCGCCCTTGGTGTAGACCACCACCTGCCCACTGAGAGGATGGCGCACCACCACAGACATCCTCTTCCTGTTTGAGTCGAAGGGCAGGACGTGCAGCAGGGGCACTGGCACAGCGCCCCCTGTGGGCAGCTCCACCAGCAGGCTGTCTGCATAGCGGCCTCTCAGAGTGACGTGGTAGGCTTGGGCAGCGTACACCAGAGCCGCCTCATCAGGGCTCTCCGCTTCAAACAGCACAGTGGCCTCACCATCTCCTGCTTCTGCCTCATCAAACATCAAGTGCGGAAAGTCTTCTTCAGCAGGAGGGTTTGTCTCTTCATCAACTAAAAGAACAACATGATGAGATCACTCTACAAGACATACTGTTCACATCCACCCCAGGTACCGTTTAGGCTGCAGTTGTTGGGGTTTGGGCTATGAGCGGCGTCTCCAGCTGCAGGGACACTGAGGGAGCCAGTCTTTCCCTGAGTGAAGAGCTTGGAGGTCAGACTGAGGGGGCTGCCCTTCAGAGGCACTGGGAGGTTCAAGCGCTGGAACATCTGCTTGATGTCCTCCAGAGAGCGCACAGGTGTTTGAGGCTGAGGTAGCTGAGGAGGGACAGGGTGTAGGATTCAAGATCAACATCATACAGATCTCTATGTAGGTTTTGAAATAACACATCTTTTAAAACCACCCATCTCGTCTCCAGATACGTCTCAACCAAAACAGCGCAATATTTCATGCATCTGTCTTATGTGAGTCCCTCTTGCTGGGCTTGCTTATAAAACTGTCCCCGTTAACTGAATGGTAAATCTAACCCATGCATAAATCCTGAATGAGTGCTAGTGCAGCCTCTGCAGCTCAGTGAGGGTTCTGGAGGTTCTGAGGCCAGTGTCCTGTACTGTTGTCTATAGGAGCTGATAACCATGATTCATGTTCCTCTGTTTAAGAGCCATAGAGGCACAGATCACACACTGTCACTGGGCATTATTGTATTGTTGTGTGTTGAACAGTTGGCAGGAGAAATACAATACAAGCAATACAATACTGGAGTAAAATGCAGTAAAACATGTTCCAGCTAAACCAGCATGGTATATCAGATAACACAACAAGCAAACTGGGCTGGACTTTTGGATCGAGACATCCCTTGTTGTTATTTTGTAGCATTAGTATTTTTGATGATTATCTTTCGTTATAAGCATAGACTGTATAAGCAGCATTTGATATTGCAGCACATATCAAAAAGTCAAATAGCATTCAAATACATACAGTGGGGCAAAAAAGTATTTAGTCAGCCACCGATTGTGCAAGTTCTCCCATTTAAAATAATGACAGAGGTCTGAAATTTTCATCATAGGTACACATCAACTGTGAGAGACAGAAAATCCAGGAAATCCCATTGTAGGATTTTTAAAGAATTTATTTGTAAATTATGGTGGAAAATAAGTATTTGGTGACTTCAAACAAGGAAGATCTCTGGCTCTCACAGACCTGTAACTTTAACTTCTTCTTTAAGAAGCTCTTCTGTCCTCCACTCGTTACCTGTATTAATGGCACCTGTTTGAACTGGTTATCTGTATAAAAGACACCTGTCCACAACCTCCAACAGTCAGACTCCAAACTCCACTATAGCCAAGACCAAAGAGCTGTCGAAGGGCACCAGGAAAAGAATTGTAGACCTGCACCAGACTGGGAAGAGTGAATCTACAATAGGCAAGCAACTTGGTGTGAACAAATCAACTGTGGGAGCAATTATCAGAAAATGGAAGACATACAAGACCACTGATAATCTCCCTTGATCTGGGGCTCCACGCAAGATCTCATCCCGTGGGGTCAAAATGATCATTAGAACGGTGATCAAATATCCCAGAAGCACACGGGGGGACCTGGTGAATGACCTGCAGAGAGCTGGGACCAAAGTAACAAAGGTTACCATCAGTAACACACTACGACGACAGGGAATCAAATCCTGCAGTGCCAGACGTGTCCCCCTGCTGAAGCCAGTGCATGTCCAGGCCCGTCTGAAGTTTGCCAGAGAGCACATGGATGATACAGCAGAGGATTGGGAGAATGTCATGTGGTCAGATGACACCAAAGTAGAACTGTTTGGTATAAACTCAACTCGTCGTGTTTGGATACTGAGTTGCATCCCAAGAACACCATACCTACTGTGAAGCATGGGGGTGGAAACGTCATGCTTTGGGGCTGTTTTTCTGCTAAGGGGACAGGACGACTGATCCGTGATAAGGAAAGGTTGAATGGGGCCATTTATCGTGAGATTTTGAGCCAAAACCTCCTTCCATCAGTGAGAGCTTTGAAGATGAAACGTGGCTGGGTCTTCCAGCATGACAATGATCCCAAAAACTCCGCCCGGGCAACGAAGGAGTGGCTCCGTAAGAAGCATTTGAAAGTCCTGGAGTGGCCTAGCCAGTCTCCAGACCTCAACCCCATTGAAAATCTGTGGAGGGAGTTGAAAGTCCGTGTTGCTCGGCGACAGCCCCAAAACATCACTGCTCTCGAGAAGATCTGCATGGAGGAATGGACCAAAATACCAGCTACTGTGTGAGCAAACGTGGTAAAGACCTATTGTAATTGTTTGACCTCTGTTATTGCCAACAAAGGTTATATTACAAAGTATTGAGTTGAATTTCTGTTATTGACCAAATACTTATTTTCCACCATAATTTACAAATAAATTCTTAAAAAATCCTACAATGTGAATTCCTGGATTTTTTTTTTCACATTCTGTCTCTCACAGTTGAAGTGTACCTATGATGAAAATTACAGACCTCTGTCATTATTTGAAGTGGGAGAACTTGCACAATCGGTGGCTGACTAAATACTTTTTTGCCCCACTGTAAGTCATAATAAATGTTAGGAATGATACAAAATAAACAATAACATTGTTATAATGGTATCCTGGAATATCAAAAAACTTACCACGTTTAGAGACTGGTTTGGTGAAGACACAACCACACTATTGCAGATTGCCAGAGCCAGAAAGAAGTCTGTGATGAAGGCCAGCTCCAGACTGGAGGAGGCTTTGGCACCGCTGTGGTCCACAGTGGAGTCAGGATAGCACAGCCAGGACAGCTTTGAGACCAGCTCAACGTCTGGCACCACCTCCTTTGCCTGAGCACAACCACAGTGCACACAGCGCATCAGAAATACACATGTGGGACTTCAAATAGAGTGTATTATGCTGAGGTACCATGTGACTGGAGAAGGCACTGGGCTGGTGCTGGCTGGCGTAGGACAGCTGCTCCTCCTCCTCCTCCTCTGACTGCGCCGTCAGAGTGTCCAGGGACACAGAGCTGCGGTTACAGCTTATGGAGCGGCAGCTAAGAGACTTCCTCCTGGATCCAGACCTGGGAGTGAGCGAGCAGCGCTGGCCTTCCTCTTTCTCCCCAGTGTAGAGCTCCAGCCTGCGGCCTGCACAAACACACAGCTCATAAATACACTTCCTTCACAAATCGTGTGTTACACTGTGGCCTGACCGTTGTCGTAGTGAGGATACTCCACTCCAGAAATGCTGCAGCGGCGAAACACCATCTTGTTCTCAGTCAGAGTTCCAGTTTTGTCAGAGAACACGTACTGCACCTGCCCCAGGTCCTCGGTGATGTTCAACGCTCGGCACTGGATCCTGGAGTCCATATGCTCATTGTACAAGTCCAGGTCGTTGTGGATGAAGTAGATCTGACCCAGTTTCACTATTTCAATGGAAACATAGAGTGAAATGGGGATCAGCACCTGTTTGAGAAGAAAAATATAATTATAATAAAGATTATACTGGACTAAAACAACATGCCAATAACGCCTTTGCATCTCATAGATTATTTACGTTAAGTTCTGTTACATTTAATGAGGAACAGTGTTACCTGGAGAACTATGATCATGGTCCAAAACACATAGAAGGCTGCCAACAAAGGGGACGTTTCCCCATCCACTTGGAACACAGGATCTTTAAGTTGCTTCAGCCAAAGGCCATGACCTAAAAAAACACACTGTATTAAAGAAACGGCCAGAGCCAGACTTGGCTTCTTCAGCTTCAGTCAAAGTGAATCCAAACCTATAGCAGCCGAGAGACACATGACGACGAGCAGCAGGACACACCACAGAACGTCCGTGTTCAGACGGCGCTCCAGCAGACTGCGCTTGTACCGCGGCCCACTGTTGTTCATCATCGCTTTGGTTTCATGACCTGCTCCAGACACAACACACATGATCCAGACACAACACACATGATCCAGAACAGAACACACATGATCCAGACACAACACACATGATCCAGAACAGAACACACATGATCCAGACACAACACACATGATCCAGAACAGAACACACATGATCCAGACACAACACAAACATGATACAGACACAACACAAACATGATCCAGACACAACACACATGATCCAGAACAGAACACACATGATCCAGACACAACACAAACATGATCCAGACAGAACACACGTGAGTGTATTTTTCTGATAACAAGAGGATGAAGAAAACATACAGTCTCATTGTTACCAATGAGACTGTATGTTTTGTGATAACTGCTTACAACAGTTTCCGCTGTTAGCAAGAAATACAACATTATTTAAATCTTTCAGGGTCAGTGTTAGGAGAGGGATGAAACACAAGATTAGGTTCATATGGTGGAAAACAAGACTTTGTCATATGTTGGAGCCGAGTTCAGGCTTCAGAAAAATCCAAATTGTTCCCTCACAAATTATGATTTGCATCCTATTTTTATCATCCGTGTGTATGGAGTGAATGAATAATGACATGTGAGCATCCAAAAAAGCGCTGTATAAAATTATAGTTTATGATTATTATAATTATTATTATTTAAATCTGGAACAGTCTTCCGAAATATGTGAGACAGGCGTCTACTTTGACAATGATCAAATCAAGTTCTGCTCTTTTTTAAAGAATTCTTTTGAAAACAAATGTATTATCTTTTTTGTCAGATTTTGTTGAGACGTGTGCTTCCCTGGTAAAAGTGATGCAGGTTTCTCACCAGCATAAACCACAATGCCAACCACGGAGGCGGAGTTGCGGACGGTGCAGCTCCGGAGCAGGAGGTTGCTGTTGTGGACGCCGACTCGAGCTCCGCTGGGGCTTTCCCTGAGGAGACGCACATTAGACAGCTCAGTGTTCCCTATGCAGCCTCTGGAGACGGCGGAAGCCAGGGAAGAGGCAGCGGCAGCAGCAGCCACCACCAACGCAACTTCAACTCCCAGAGCACTCTCCCATTCAAATCAATTGTATTCTGAAAAAATACTCACTACTTTTATTTAAATCAAGCTATTTTTAGGTTTTAACCTTTAAAATCACTTTTGTTTTATTCTTTGTGTTGGCGAATTCAACAGTTATGTTAAGTAAAAGGTTACCAAGTGGTGACAGCAAATCTATGATAGAAAATCAAGAGGAACCTATAGGGCTTCATTGAGCTTTATGCAGTATATGAGGAATACTCCTGTTTAAAACAGTTTTGTGTAAATGACAAAGGGAGACAACCATTACAATGAGCAAAAGCTGAGATAATTCAATGTTTAGGTTTAAGATGCATTTCAATAACTTACATATATCCTCTGAAGCGACACAGGTTGTTGTTGGGATTCTCACATTCAATACGCCAGTGGAAATCTTCTGGTACAAAGTCTACTCCCTGTGAAATAAAAACAAGAAGATAATAAAGGATGAAAGTGAGGTTCTGTGTGACCAGGGAGTGACCTACACTCTCACCTACGTAACGGCCCACAGAGCAATAAATATTGTCCGTCACTTCAGAAGCGGAAGCACAGTGCAGTGGTAATGTTTAACAGTTTTGATGGACAAAGAAACAGCATTTTAAATATCATGTTATGGAATAATCAGTAGAAAGCATTGATGGAGTTCATTATAATGACTATAATTATAAACTTTTGAATGCACTAGAAACTGCAGCAAGTCCTAAATAACTCTGGAACAGTTTTGTGCTTTACACATTTTTCTCTTGCTTATTTCTACCTGTGAATGTTCCTGCAGTATAGTGTTCATAGTTTAACACTGATCCAGACCAGAGCAGAGAGGATTCACGGTCTGAACCAAGCAGGCCAAGTGTAAGTAATACACATTTTTGAAAGTTTGGAAAAATGCTAATAAAATATTCAAAATCTCACTCTGAACCAGAGTAGAGGAAACGGTCCGAGCCAAGCAAACTCTCTATACATCAACCAGAGAGAAGAAAGTAGCTCATCACCAGCGGCTACACCACCTCTGCTGCTCTGACCTAAAGTAGTGTTGCATTTTATTATGATTGTTAGCTACTTTTAAAATGACATATTTATTTGTTTTGTTAGTATGAACGGGTGTCTTTCTGCTGCTACTGGACACCTGAAATCAATAAAGTATCTATCTATCTATCCATCCATCTTTCTATAATGTATAAAGTTTAAGGTGGATTGAACATTCAAACATGAAAAACACCTAACCTCCATCTTGGAAACCACCTGTCTTTGTTTCAGGTTAGTCTCCCCGTCTAAATTGGCCGTCTCGATGTAGCAAACCCCGCGGGGGTCGGAGGAGTGCAGCAGGAGCATGTCTGCAGGGATGATGTCATTACACGACAGCCGCACAAAGTCCCCCACTCGCACATCCTTCCAGCAGCAGTCGACGTACTCCCTCTGCTTACTGCACACACAAGGGACGGAAGTGTGTCAGTCAAACAAGATGCCTTTCACACAACCTGCATGACTCAATAACTCTCATAAATATTCAACATTTATGGACGTAGGTTAATTCCCCCTTATGAACCGATGTGTTTTTTACCATTGCATTTATTGTACTTGTCTTGTGCACACTGGAGACTTTTGAAAACATATTCCAATGTGGTTTTACAGCAAATGGCAAATAAATTAATCTGAACATTTGTAATAAAAAGCTAGTGAACACATTAAAACATGTCACTGTTCTACAATGGAGTAAAGAGTGCATGCAGGGATCCATAAATGTAGAACAAACGTGACAGATGAGGTGCTCTTTGAGGATCCGTGGGAAAATAATAGATAACAGAGAGTGCCTTGGAAAAGGGTCCGAGGCACTTTCAATTTTGCATCAAATTCAATTCAATTTCAATGTGTTCCTGTATAGCCTTAGTTTTTACTACAAATCCGTCAAATGTGCCAACACAGATCAGAGAATCAAACAGGTCAAACACACAAAAAAAACACAGAGCTATTGGTCCATAAGGGGCAGATGACCAAAAATGCTGATAAAGTCCATATACTCTGATTTATAAGAGTCAAATCCTGGGTTTTATCATATAATTCAAAGTGTCTCAGACCCCTTCCTTTTCTTGTCAATATTCTACCTGCAGTAAACGGTGCACATACGCCGGTTCACCACATAATCAGACCGCCCCCTGCGAAAGTCCTCCCAGAAGTCCTTTGCAGCCGTCACCAACAAAACCAAAAGAATGGGGACCACACCGATCTCCGGCTCGAAGGCCTCCACGACCGGGACAAAGTTGAGAACGGCCAAGAAGATGAAGTAGACATTGGCGACGCGGTGCAGCTGCTCGAACAGGTTCTTGGGAATGAACGACAGCAGTGTGTACTTGGTGGTGCGGATTGTGTTGCTTTGATAAGAGGTGAGGAGGTCTCTTAGCTCGTCATTGTGGAAACACCAGGACACCACGGTTCTTCTCTTTTGGAGCTCGTCTGGGAAGTGACGCCTGCGTCCACACCTCAGCTCAAACATTAGTCCGATTGCCTCTTTTTCTGCGAGTTTTCAGACACCATTTCTCAGTCGGGTGAAAAAAGTCACTGGGCGAAGGGGCAATGATTGTGGAAGAACATATGTTGGTCCCTCCCCGACACACCTTAAGCAAACTCAAGGGTCAGCTTTTTTACAGCCAGTATTGTGCGCGCTAATATTATAAGGACCACTGAGCAAAGTTTAAAACACGCACAAGCTATTTCTTCATTAAAATCTTGTTTATGCTATTCCCTAATTATTAGCAAACTGAAAGGAATTAACATTTTTGGTCTAGATGAGAATTTTGAGACTTTTTCTTGCAGGTTTATCTCAACAGTTTTTTTTATTAACCACTCATCCATAAGGACCAGATTTGTTAGGAGTATGACTCAAATTTGACCCATGTACAGACTGATTGTGTGTTTGCAGCTCCTCCAGTCTGCTGTGGCTCACTGCTGTGGCTCACTGCTGTGGCTCACTGCTGTGGCTCACTGCTGTGGCCCACTGCTGTGGCTCACTGCTGTGGCCCACTGCTGTGGCCCACTGCTGTGGCTCACTGCTGTGGCCCACTGCTGTGGCTCACAAGTGTCCTCCCTGTTTGGATTGTTTAGGTAGTCAGCCAAGTCTTGGTTAACGTACCAAGACTTGGCTGACTGCAGTTGTGCTACACTATTTGTATTTTGGAATAATGGACAGATCAGGTGCTCTGAGATGTTCAAAGCTTGGGAAATTTTTTCTTTGCTATTCTTACCAATCTTTGCCACTACTTCCTCTTTTCCTTCCTTGAACTTCCTGATTGTATAATGTTTTGTGTTGTTTTAGACTGTGAGCATTCAGCAGTCCTCAGGACTTTGCTCATGCAAGACACTTCACAGTTGTTGAGGTTTCTCAGCAAAAAAAAAAAGAAGTTTGGTATAAGGTTGGTTTAATAAGCTGCATTGATACTTTTGCAACCATATATCAAGTTTAATATGTTTATTTAACAAAGATGAATATAAAATCTTGGCATACTGTAGGCTTGTTATAGTGTATGCTTGTTAATACTAACTCTAAGATGTTTATTTTGACCCAACTATTTGGGTTTGACACAGGGAACACACAGAAAGACCCCTGACTGGGCCCTGGGATTGAACTCACGAATGTCTTAGCAGGTCTCAGTGCTAACCACTCAGCCACCATACTGTGTCCAGTCCTAATGACCAAAGCAGACCAGCGTGCAGACAGTTATGAAAAGCAGTTTCTCTGTGGAGAGCACTCACGGGCAGTAGACTTTGGCAGCGTTGTGGTTGATCCTCTTGTCGAACACATAACGCCTGTAATCTTCCAGAGCGTCTTTGATGGCGGTGACCGTGAGAACCAGCACCAGAGGAATCATGGTGATCTCCTTCTGGAACGCCTCCACCACAGGAACCCAGTTCAGCAGCGCCAGGAACAGGAAATACAGGTTGGCAGCTCTGCTCAAAATTAATATGACAGTTTTAATTATGTACATACTATTTATTTTCTATTAAGCTATAGTGCTGGACACATGGAGGTAATGATGACATCAAATTGCTTGGTGTGGTGTTACCGTGGTATTGCACTCATGATAACATGCATTGCACATTTGTGGTGAGCTTTGCAGAGATTGTCATTTCAAAAGACTGTTTCATAACAATGATTTCCTCATGGAGGTTGAATTGAAACAAAGAACTGGATACATGCAGTTCACAAGTTCCATTTCATTACTGCTGCGATTCAATGATAGTGGCCACAAAAGCTTTGTTTAATTACATTTGTATGAACACCTTATTATATTCTTATTATGACCTAATGAAAATACAGAGGGGCGCTTCATTTCATGTGTACGTGTATGTGTGTATGTGTCTGTTTATGTGTGTATGAGAGCGTGTATGTGTGTGCAAATGTCTGTGTGTGTCTACGTATGAGTGTGTGATATGACATGCGTGTCTGTGTTTTTGTGTGAGTCTATGTATGTATGTATGTATGTATGTGTCTTTGTGTGCATTGTGTATGTGTGTGTGTGTGTGTGTGTGTCTGTGTGTGCTTGAGTGTGTGAGTCTGTTTATCGGGAATGTGAGTGAGAGTGTGTGTTTGTGTGTAAGTGTATGTGTGTGTATGTGTGTGTGTCTGTGTTCCTCACCTGCGGAACTGCTGGAACAGGTTGATGGGGATGAAGGTGAGCAGGCTGTACTTGGTGGTGCGGATGGCGTTGCTGCTGTAGGCCTTGCTGATGCTGTGGTACTGGTCCTGGTGCGGGCCCCATCGTGCCACCACTGTCCTCCTCTTGACGCCGCTCCTCTGTGGGGAGAGCTTCTCTGAGGTGGGGCGCGGGGGTGAGTACCAGCCCTGAGTGTGGTCTACCGCCCACAGCTGCTGACAGCGGAACCTGACCCAGTGGAGCTGCTCCATTTCAGATCCTCAGCTGAGTACACAACCAAAATATATAGTTGTAATGTTTGAAAACTATGGAAGAAGAACTGTGCTTCTGTCAGACTGTACAACAAACAATTAGGACTAACAAACACTGCCGACCTGACCTCACATGTCATGCATTGGTGCAAAATAGAACCACATGTGTCCACTGTCGCACCACTTAGTCACTTAGTCTCATTCCATCATGCTGCTAACATGTACAGATGTAAACATACAACTATATATTACTTGTGCTAGATAACACAGTACTTTATACTTGCTTCTTATTATGCTAAAGATAGAGATTTTATACTTGTTTCTTCTTCATTCTAGAGTTTGATAGATGTTTTATTTTTTTCTCTTTAGTCTAGAATTATTGTTCATGTATCTTGTGCTCAGTGTGCGGTGTGCTCCTCACTTTAGTGTTCGTAACTGGTGATCCAACACACTGAAATTTCCCCGCTGTGTGACAAATACCTAGATAGATATGGTATTTATGAAAGAATACGGCATTGCTGTGTCATTGGCATGAGGCATCAGTCCTTTGCACCTGTACTGTTAACATCTCGCTGCAACATGCCTAACCTGATCACCATCATTCTTCAGTAGTCTTATGGTCTGGATTGATGTCAAGATGTTTATGATATGTAACAGAGTCAGTATGCACCAAAACTAGTGAGATAACATAACGTATATCTGTGTACTTGTATTGTTCATTTCCAATCCTAAAACCATACAGCTAATTCAATTTAATTCAATAATGTTGTTTTGACCAGTCGTCCAGTTCAGTTCTTGTCTTGCATCCACACACTAGGCTGAATAACGCATTCTTTAAATCTCTTGAGGCACTGCGTTCTTTGCTTCGATTAACTTTTATAAAAACACATGACAAGTTGTTTACTGTGCACATAAAGAAGCAGCAGCGGACAGCGGAAGTACAGAAAAGGGGACAATGACGCTCACCTGGGGCAATTGTACCGTGAAAGAGGACTGATGGTGTACCCGCTGGACCATAGTCCTGGACCAAGTCTCTGCTCATGAGGACGCAGGGCCGGAGTCGTCTGGACCACAAGCCAGTGTCAGAGCACGTCAGCCCGGGATTCAAGCAGAGGAGGCATCGCTCTGAGCTCAGGGTCACAGCAGGGTTGGGATGTCAGGCTGCATCCGAGTTTCATAAAAGCGTCCTTGTCTTTTTTTGTCCTTCTTTGTCCGCCCATAACTCTCCGTTGTTCCAGGTTTGATCAAGTAAACTTAAAGGAATGTTGAAATAGTAAAATTCACCCCACTTTCATAAAATATAAGTAACCAAGTTAGAGCAAAAGAATAATGAAGAGGGCAATGTAGATGATTATGGATGCAGCACTCTGTACATGGAGCGTTCACAAACTCTACCTCTACTTTTCAAGTTTCTCTTCACCAAAACATGTTGCTCTTCTCTCACTGTATATAGTTGTATGCAGTTAATAAGTAGTCAGTCACATAGAATAAACACACATGTACCAGTGTGGCGTTTAGCAAACCCGTTCAGTCTTATAAGAAGACGTTGATGAATAACATGAACAACAGTCTTTGAACGCGCCTTGAACTCGCACGTGACCGCTGTCATCTGACTGTTAACGCGGAACTCGCCGTTTTGTCGCGCTGTATTGTGGAAATGCTGCAAATATGACTGATTTGTTAGATAAACTCTCAGACGCGGAATGTCGAAAAGTAAGTATGCGTAACTTTGTTTAGGATGACAAACACTTGACTTTTAACTATTCTATCTATTACAGTCTATGATCTAGAAACAGACCAGTGTTGTGTGCTTACAGGACCATGCTCCTGGCTGCAGATGAATAATATAAAATAGTGTGGAAATGTATGGTTTAAATTAAAGTCTTAATCACTATATTTTGCATCTGTTGCGCCACCTATGTGTGAGAGCCAGATTCCGTTAGACTTCGTTAGCTAAGCAGTGCAGTGCACTGTTGGCATTGTGATGGGAAACCTGCCAAACTGTTCACTTATTTTGCCTAGAATCAAGTCTGCCTCTGGGCAGCTGTGGCTACAGTAGAGTTTTATCGCTTTAGCGCTATAAAACAGATTCATGATTATTTTATATCATTTCAAAGATTGCTGTCAGTACATCATGTGTCTTGGTATCTTTTATAAACAAATGAAACTACTATGTCTTTACTCTCTTTACAGATTTAGTGGCAAATGGAACAAGAGCTCAAAACTGGGACTTCCTATTGTAAATTAGGACATTTTCCCACCCGAGTCAAGTCTAGAACTATTGTAAATATAGTTATATAGCCAATATAAATATAGCCAACCAACTGTTCAAGATGTACAGTGTATTACATCTCAAACTATATTGAAATGCATGTGACAGAAAACAGTGAGATGACTTTTTGTGTTGGCAAATATTTGTATATGTTTTTTATGTCAAGTTGCAGTTTGTGACATTAAGTTGAAAAGCAGAGAGTGTAGCTGAGTTCTAATGTCGCTTATAAAATACATAGATAATTATTACACATAAAGCAATTACGTTATCTGTTACATCCATTCAACAATGTTGTATCTGCTACCCATAACTAACCAGGAAGTAACATTTCAAACTTTACAAAGCTAAACAAGACAAACACTTCTATAAATCAATTTGAATTATGTTTTAGCAAAATTAGTTCAGCAGTATCCATTCGGCCCCTGTACATTTTACAGCTTTCTACAAGATAGTTATCATTCTTCTGAATTTCCAGTTGTGCCATGCAGTGGTTGATGGAGTATGTGGGAGAAAGCAGCCACAGAGGCAGGACTACAGCGCCATCTGCAGCCTGGACGACTGGTTGGTCTTGAACAAGTCCCTCTCTAAGCTGTTTTGTCTAGCAGCAGGCGGACACAGCTCTGAGGAGGAAGTAAGGCCACACACTCTATTCTACTGTTTTACACACAAATAATAATCATTTTGTCTATTGGTTAGGTGTTAGCCGCCCTGTCCAACAGCAAACATAAAGACATATTGTTGAGTGTGTTAAAAGGCAGACGTCAGGAGCTTAGTCGTGCCTTACTGGACAAGACCACCTCCATCTCGTCTGCCGTCCTCGCTGACTTTGATTGGCAGCTTAAGGTGAGGCAAGGTGAAGTCGAAATGAAAGCCTTAAGCCTTTTGAAAGTGAATCAAAAGGGTATCTTTTTACATTTGAAAGCTTATGGCATTGAATTCTATGCCTTCATGTTGATTGAGCAAGTTGTCCCACAAAAAATGAGACTGGGGTCCTAATTTCCTCACCCATACACTCCAACTGTGAGTGACAGAATTAAAAAAATATCCAGGAAATTACATTTTAAACAATTTATTTGTATAATGGAGCAGAAAATAAGACCAATGTTGAAAGTTCAATGCAATACTTTGTAATGCGCTGATTTACAAACAAGATTAAGGCAAGGAAAATGTATTTCTCCCTCACAGTTCATACACAAGGAAACTTCATGTGCATTACAAAACAAGAAAATAAATACACAAGCAATTTAAATCCTGAATAATCACAGAACATCCAAAATAGTGAAGAAATGCAGCCCTCAAACCTGTGATTGAATTGTTTATGTAAGTTCTGTTTTATACAAAGGCCTATGAAAAACCCTTTTGTTGATGTATACTGGGCCCTCAAATCCCTACAGGTATCAAACCTGTCTTAAGTAAATATTAAAATTTTATAAATGATCTCAGTGCATTAAATAGAGTGAAGATACAATCCTTCAGTTGTATGCACAGCTGCACAGAACAGTTTTTCCATTCTGAACTTAATCTTAGAGTAAAAGCCTTAATTCATGAATTTCTCTAGTCCTTTTTGTTTTATTTCTTACCAATGCAACAACGTTTATGGACATTGGTCATCTGCTCCTTATGGACCAATGGCTCTAATGTAGGGCAGGGCAATAAATCGAATTTAGGCGATTAATCTGCTTTGGAATAAATTGAAATAGTAAAAAAATGTGAAAATTGTGAAATTGAATGAAGGATATTGTGAGAGTTCCAGCAGCACATGAATTATGCTTGCAATATCAGCACAGTCTGTACAAAATAATACGTATTGGGGAAACAAATTAAAAATTGTTTTGAAACTTTAATATTGACCGGAAAGATCAACAAACATTTTTAAGGGCAAAGTCTGTCTTCGATGACTTTTTTGAAAATTGTCCAAAGCAGGAAATAAAATCGAGATTTTACTTTTTTACCATATCGCCCAGCTCTAGCTCTGAGTTTTTATCTTTACAATTCTTACCACTGTAGTGATTTAGGGCTACACAAAAAAAAAAAAAAATTGAAATGAATGGAATGGGCTTTTCAAAGGTGTGTATAAATACAATGGTTGTGAGACGCTGCGAGACATAATAAAAAGTCTACAATCTGACTTCTCCCGTCGATTTAACAATGTTATTTCTTTATGAAATATGTCCGCGCCGCCACATAACCCGTTCTTCTCTCTGTTGTCAAAGCTCGCTCTATCCAGCGACAAGATCTCGTGTCTGCAGACTCCACTGCTGAGCCTGAGTCTGGACGTGAGGGAGGGGGGGGCGCTGCGTCCCGTCTCCATGGAGATGACACGGGAGGAACTTCAAACACTCATCACTTCATTAGAGGCGGCTAATAAGGTACAGGACACAACGGCTTCACAAGCAAAGCCTTTGTCACAACTGGAGACCAGGGGAGAGGGCCATTTACAAGCATATGGGCAGCTGGCTGATGTTTGGAGAAGAGTTGATACATGATTTTAGATTAAGTTTTTATTTACACCTATAACTAGGGTTGTAATAAGGTAATCAATTAATCTGAACTTAATGATTTTTGAAATCTTATTGGAACAGTAGTCCCAGGATAAACTGTTCTCTTGCCTTGTTCTTGTCTCAATCTTTTTACTTGTGGGAGCTATAGCTTGACTATTATGATATCTGCATGGATTTAATCAACTTCTATATTTCCTTTGCAGTCCATGCAAAATTTTTCGGACCAAAACTAAAATGATTCAAACACACTAAATAGTTGTTGTCCAAATCACACTATTCAGTCTCAGAGCTCGAGCACAGCCACAGCCAAACTTTGCATTTAGCATCCAGAAGTATTTATCACATTTACAAAACAGTTACTCTAAAACTTCAAGGGTTTAGGAGACTAAAATAACACTACTTTTGTAACCTAATCCTTATTATAACTACAAAAACAAAATATCAGTCTTAGTTTTCAGACTTAGACTAATATTTAGTTTTTCATGAAATAATGACATGAAATAAACTACATATAGATACAGAAAAGATGGGAAGATTAAAAATGTACATAATATTAAAACAAAAAGATAAGTAATGTCCCAACTGGTCCTAGAGTCCTACAGAGATAGAAGTACTTACCGCCGCCGGTCTCAAAGTGCTGAGGATGGCGAAGCAGGCCTCACTGCGTTTCCACCTGGGTCATGCACCTTGATGCATTTGCAGTATTGAACTAAACCGCTAACGCTGCACACGCTATTTTACTTTGCACCTGGAGTGATGAAAATAGCCTTAAGTGGTGTAAATAGTAGCGGAGAAGGCCCGCATTGAGACATCCATCCATCAATGCACCCAATTCACAGAGCACCAGCCCCACACTGATCCTCCTGCAGGGGTGAGTCCACAGGAGGATGCATGGAGACGAGAGGTGCATCCTACTACAATTATGAGTGGAGTTGATTTATGAAACTTACATGGCCTCGCATAAAAGTACTGTACATCCGAGACATGTTAGTGCTTATTAACTAACGCAGACTCTGAGGAGCACAGGGACTGGCCTCCTGCTGGTGACCAGAGTCAGATCTAAACATGGGGAGGCAGCGTTTCAGATTTATGCAGCTAAATTCTGCAAAAGTCTTCCCAAAAATGTGAGACAAGCTCCTATTCTGACAATGTTAAAATCCAGGTTAAAACGGTTCTGTTTAGCTGTGCATACAACTTTTTTAATGATCTATTTATGAATTGACTGCTTTGTATGATTGCTTCTACCTTGTTTTCTTGCCTTGTGTATGAATTGCGATATATACAAATAAACCGTCCTTGCCTTCATATACAAAAATCAAACTGAAAATTACACTTTCAAGTAACGTGTTTCCAAAAAAGTTCTGGGCATTTGGTTTATTCACATGATATGTTACTTCATAGGTGATTCTACAGCTGAAATGATGACGTCAGAACTGAAGAGGCCAGAGTATTACCATGCTTCTACACTACATTTGTAAATGAAAAGAAAAAAAAAAGCATTTTTTTGTCATGTTATTGCATCTCGTTGTGTGTCTAGAGCAGGGGTGTCAATACTTGTACTTCTTTTATACTTCCTACTAACACAAGTATAAAAGTGTCTGAAGCCCATGGATATTTATTTTGTATTTTTCTACATGATTAACCTGAGTTTGGAGATGGTTTTCTGCTAGATTTTCTTTAACAAATCTAGTGCAGTCATTGTTTAGACAGATAGTTAAAGGAAATAACGTTGATTATATATTTTGTATACTAACATTTCATTATTTTGTGTGTTTTGACAATAAATGTAAATGTGAAGTTTAAAAATTAGGTATAACACGCCATGTAATTATGTGTAACTTATGCTTTGTCCAGGACTCCCCCTTGAAAAAGACGTTCTTGATCAAATTGGGGATTTCCTGTTTAAATCAAGTTTTATAAAAAAAAAAAAAAATAGTTGCACATATTATAGCAAAAAATTAAAATAATTTCAGGGGCCACTTAAAATGGTTTGGCATTTGGCTCGCGGGCCTTGGGTTTGACACCTGTGCTCTAGATATTTTTTTTGTTTTTTTTCTGTAAATACAATTGTCAAAAAGAAAAACAGTCTCGTCAATCACTCCACTTGTGTACAATAGACATTTTTCAACAACTTTTATTTACCCATTTGCAAACTGTTCTTGGTTCTATTCATTTGCTTAATTATAGAATAAGGAAAAGTTACACATGCGACATTAAAATATGAAAAATACGTCTAGAGAAAGGATAATTCACTGCTTATTGTAACTGTGTGTATCTTCTGCAGTTCATGTATTTTGAGTTAGCTAATAAAACGGCAAAAAAGCATTTACATTCATTCATCTTATCTGCTTAAATCCGTGGGCGGCGTGTACTGGAGCCTATCCCAGTAACTAAAAAAGCTTTGATCTTTTGTTTTTTATAAAGTATACTCTTCTCTCTATATATATTTATATAATTTACATTTAAATATATTTACAGGATTTTGTGACTTTTTCATTCTGTACGCAAAACAAGTCCCCCAGCCAGGTTTGGTTTGGTTCGCGTTTTTTGTGGTTTTTAGTTCACATAATAGAGCCAGTAGACCAGGTTGAAGAGAGTGAAGGTGATGGGGAAGACCACGCGGGACCACTTGTCTATGGCGTTGACGTCGGTGAGGTCCGGGATCTTGACCTTGAGCTGGGACGCCCTCCTCCTCAGGCGTCCCTTTTTGTGGCTGAGGGGGCGCTCGATGGCGGGGCGGCCGTACAGGTCTCGGCTCGTCATGGGCTTGCGGTACTGGATGCTGGCGCTGTCGTAGGAGAACATGGTGGCGCGCGGGTCCGTCAGAGCGCCCATGATGTCGGCGCCGCCCATCTCCCCGGTCAGGCTGGTCAGCAGGATGTTCCCGTGTGCGTCCACCTGCGCACACGCACACACACACACACACAGAGGGATGGGTAACAAACGTGCTTTATATATTAACTATCACTTAGACCAGGGGTGGCCAACTCATCTTTGTCTGGGGCCGAATAGTAAACTAAGAAGTGGTCGGGAGCAGAAATGAGGGGATTTCCTTTTCTCATTGTTTTATTTACATTATGAAGATATTTTGACATGACAAGAGTTTCACTGTTATTATCTGGGTGATTTTTGTTTTTATTTGGATTTAACCAAAACTGGACCAAATATAAACTTAAACACATTATTTTATATTTAACCATTTAACTTCTAATGATGTATTGGGTTAATGTTTTAAAATAAATTAAATGTGGTTTCTTTCCTGAGAAAATCAAGTACGTGTAACATTCCTTGGTATATCCATTGCTATCTATGCTGCAAGTTAATAATAATTGAAAATTATTTAAGGGCCACTAAAAAAGGTCTTGGTCTTAATAACTGTGACTTTTTCTGTATCCGTTATGAAGGACAACAATACATGTTAAAACTAAGGTTAGAACCCAACTGTTTTGGGAAGAACTGGTTACTTGGATTTTATACAACTTTGAAAGTTGTGTGCCTTATTTTCTTTAAATCATATTCTAATATTTCTTCATTCTGTACACTGCACAAAATGATTTGGCTCCAAATCCTCTCCATTCAACACAACATACGTAAGACTCTCCATCTCTAACTTAACACATCCATGATCACATGATCTTGAGGATCTTTACTTTATTTTTGTATGTGTTTGAAAAGTAAATATGTAAATATTTGAAATAAAACATGTACTTTTTTATTTTGACTTTTTAGCATACCACAGAGATTTTAGATCATCTGGACCTAGAGGGGAGGCCTACATATGGAAACCGGAGCAGACACAGGGAGAACATGCAAATACCACTCACAACCTTCTAAAGCCTCCCTCGGCACGGTGGCTGAGTGGATAGCACTCTCGCCTCTCAGCAAGAAGGTCCTGGTGTTTGAGTCCTGGTGTTCGAGTCCTGGGGTTCGAGTCCTGGGGTTCGAGTCCTGGGGTTCGAGTCCTGGGGTTCGAGTCCTGGGGTTCGAATCCCGGTTGGACCAGGGCCTTTCTGAGTGGAGTTTGCATGTTCTCCCCGTGTCTGCGTAGGTTTCCTCCGGGTACTCCGGTTTCCCCTACCACTAAAAATATGTTTAATAGGTCTGGCATGCGCCTCCCGTACTGGTGACCCCGCTCCCATCTCTGGAGTCGGAGACAAATGCCCAAAAATAACAATTGTAAACCGCTTTGAGACTCTGGCCTGCAGTGAAAGGCGGTATATAAAGAAAGATTACCCTGTCTGAAACATTGAAGTAAGTAACTAACCATGCAGCCATATGCTGCCAATCGATGCTTCCAGAATATAGGAACATGATGAATATCTAGGACTGAAATGAGCAAACATCGCCCTCTAGTGCTCCATGTTGGCATGAGGCTTCGATGCCCACTCAAAGGCACCAATTGTAAAAAACTTTTCCAAAACAAATCTAGAGATACTTTTTTTTTTTTTTTTTTTTTTTTAAGAAAGGCAGTAATTGGCTTTGTCCATGGCATCTAAGAATGTCTCATAGTGTAGCGTACCCATTTTGACGCCATAATAATGCCAACTATAATGATAGTACCAAAATAAATGATAGTGTGTTGGACATTCTATCACACACAGTGGTTATAAATGAGTCTTGGCCCCTGTGACCACCAACAACCATTCACACACACAAATGAATACAATTTCAACCTGCCCTTTAAGTCACTAAAACAAACTATAATCATGGAGACCACAACTCAAACCATTTTCATCCAGCAGCAGCACAGCCAATCAGCTCATTGCGGGATCTTTCTGTCAAGGATGTATTCTATTATTGTAATGACTGAATGAATGCAAAATGGCCTCTTGATTTTGTTTGTGTGTAACTATGTGTGTGTGTGTGTGTGTGTGTTTGTGTGTCACTTTGTTTTGAACATGTGGAGCAAAGAGGTTGCACTCACATCACACACAACACACATCATGATATTAAAAGGAAAGCCAGGAGCCGGGAGCAGAGATTCCAGACTTAACAAAGCCAAGACCTTTCATCGAGTGAGTGTACTGTTAGAAGGTCATATTTTATTTAGGGAGGAGTCACAAAATGGGGTGAGGAGCGGCTCCACAACACGTAATTAAGAATTGAACAACTAAGTGTTTGACAAACTATACTTTACCAGGAAGTACGACCATATTAGTCCAGTCCTCAGGTCTCTGCACTGGCTTCCTGTGGCTCAGAGAATAGACTTTAAAACAGCTCTGCTTGTGTACAAGTCTCTCCATAGCCTCGCACCAAAATATATTAGTGACATGTTAGTCCCATATGAACCAGCCCGGACTCTGAGGAGCACAGGGACTGGACTCCTGTTAGTGCCCAGAGTCAGAACTAAACATGGGGAGGCTGCTTTTCAGATTCATGCTGCTAAAATCTGGAACAGTCTTCCTGAAGATGTGAGACAGGCCTCCTCTCTGACAATGTTTAAAACCAGGTTAAAGACGGTTCTGTTTAACTGTGCATACAACTGAGGGATTTTATATTTTTATCTTTCTTTTTAATGTTCTGTGATAATTTATGATTTTAATGCTTTCTTGTTTTGTTCAGCACTTTGAATTGCCTTGTGTATGAATTGTGCTATATAAATAAACTTGCCTTGCCTTGCCTTGCCATTAAGTAATCTTATCATCTTTTTATTTTTTTATTTTTTTTATTTAAAACAAGCTTTGTGTTGCATTTTAAGACTTTGGAACAGTTGCTCTAATGAAACATGCTCTTTCAATTGTCACAAGACTTTCCGTAATTATTCAGTGAAATTCAGTCCAATTCTTGTACCATTCAGAAAATTGTACAAGATTTGGTTACCTTGGTTACCTTTATGTATTAATGTAGCTATTGCATAAGTCCAATCAGGAAATCACATCATAAACTTTACCTAATGTTGAAAAAAAGAGTGAAGAAATCCAGGCGAGATTATGAGTCGAATCTTCAATCTGGTGTATCAACATTTCAAACCACAAAATATTTAACAATATAAAATCCTTGTCACTAATTTCTGGGTCTGAGACCGTTTGTCTTTATCAGTAGTTTTCACATGCATCTGACTGCATTAAAGGCAGGGCCACCTCGCTCTCAGCCCAAAGTGTCAAATAGTGACTCACGGGGCTCTTCCTTACAATATGCAATATACAGTATAACAAGTTTACTAATATCATACAAACAGCATATTGTGGTCTGATTTTGTCACAACACTTAGTAACTTTAACTAGATGTTTTTCTGTTGGAAAAACACTGGGGAAGTCTTGCACAGTTACTCCAATGTGGTTTTACTGCAAGTGGCAAATAAACTGAATATTATTTTAAGAAGCAAAAAAGGGAAAGTGAATGGTATTTTGGGCCTGTGTTTTTGTTTTGTGTGTGTGTGTGTGTGTGTGTGTGTGTAACAAGCGAGAGCAGTTGAAGCCTAAAAAGCATTTTCTTCTTTCAACCCCTTTTCAAACTGTATTTTCCAAATTGAACTGTATCTTGTTTATTTTGTTGTGCAGGTTGAAAAATTTAAGTTTAAAATAAATACTTACTTACTTACTAATTATAAAAAACAGACACTACACACAAACAAAACACTAGACACAATACTAGACAAAACGAGTTAGTGCCAATCCTCAAAAAGTTGTGTCTGAAGTTGTAGAGGGCTCCTCACCTGGACCTTGTTGCTCTCCATGCGGCCTCTCTCGTTGTTGGACTTTGCCGCCTTCTCGGCCACTTTCTTCTGCAGGTGAGGACCGCGGCCGAAGAAGATGTAGTTGACAAAGGCGTACTCTAGGAGCGCCAGGAACACGAACACGAAGCAGCCCATCAGGAAGATGTCGATGGCCTTCACGTAGGGGATCTTTGGAAGGGTCTCCCGCAGATGAGTGTTGATGGTGGTCATGGTCAGCACCGTGGTGATTCCTGGTGACGAGAAACTCAATTTATTTCTGAACAGCCCTAAATCACGACAGTAGTTATCTCGGAGGACTTTAAAAAAAGTTGTATTTGCCAAAACAGATCAGGGAATCAAATCGATCAGACACAATAAAAGCCACGATGAACTTGTGTACCTCATTCTGGCTGAGGTTAAGGACTTCTCAAGTTATGTCTAATGTATCTTTATTTTCCTGACAACCTGCTCCAGATCCATAGTCACTTTTTAGCTGTATATAAGATACTTTTTTAGGAAGATCTTTGAGTGATGTCGTTGTTTAAAGTTGTCTCAGCAGGCTTTCCCGACGTTTTGTCCTTAATCCAATAACTTTTTCAAGGGGATTAGATTTCATTCCCTTGAAAAAGTTCTTTGGATTAAGGACGAAACGTTGGGAAAACCTGCTGAGAAGTACAGATGATGGGTGAGAAACCTTCCTTTGCTTTGACTAATTCCATATGACTGAGAGCTTACACAAACTTTTTGTTTTTCCCGTGCCGGTCACGTGACTGGGTCGCAACAAAGCAACGACTACTACTTGGATGCAACAGAGTTAGATAGTTTTAGACGTTTGGAAAGTTGTAATGCCTGTGTTGAGTTATTTCGAGAAAAAAAAAAATATATATCAAACATATATATATATGTTTGATATATACCTTGCCCAGGGACTAGCTGTATGGATAACATCTAGCAGCTTTCTAGTTCATGGTCCATGTTTTCGTCTATGCCGGGACCCAGATCGCTTTTTGTGAAGCCTTAATCAGACCGCAAACATAGTCATTATTGTTTGTGGTCTTCCCAAATAGCAATCTGGGTCCCGGCATAGACGAAAACATGGACTATGAATTACAAAGCCGCTAGTTATCCATACAGCTAGTCCCTGGGCAAGGTGTAAAATGCCAAGTAGTCATTCTGAAAAGCTAGATCTATTTTAGTGCCGTACAAAAAAAGGTTTCACCCCTTCTTGGGCCAATCCTCTCAACTTTGCTGCCAATAACGAACCATGTTGAAGATTGTAGTTAGAGGACTACAACGAAGTCATCAGTTTTTGAAAATGATCTATTCAGATTCAGATTTTTGGGGTAGTTCTGTCTTGTAAGTAAGTAAGTAATCTTTATTTATATAGCGCATTTTTACAGACCAAGGTCACACAAAGCGCTTTACAATGTTCAGACATTGTTCCATTCTCTCCTCACACTGATGCATCAACGCCCCAACCAACACCATCCATTCACTCATTACATTGATACCTATTGTACATGTTTTAGTGGTAGGGGAAACCGGAACACCTGGAGGAAACCTACACAGACACGGGAAGAACAACTCCACTCAGAAATGCCCTGTTCCGACCGAGATTCGAACCCAGGACCTTCTTGCAGAGAGTGAGGGTGTTAACACTGATAATGGAATAGATTATGTGTTTTGAAATATAAATTCAAAACAGACTATTAACCTAAAGTAAATAAGATTATTAACCTAATGCAACTCTGGCAGCCGACGCATCGTAGTTGATCCAAAAGGAGACCCAGGACAGGATGGTGATCAGGGTGGAGGGCATGTAGGTCTGCAGGATGAAGTAACCGATGTTCCTCTTCAGCTTAAAACTCAAGGACAGCCTGGGGTACGAACCTATGGGAGAAAAAAAGGATACATCTTTAGACAGCAATAAAAGAAGGATCACAATTGTCCAGTTGTCAGGTCTCTGCACTGGCTTCCTGTGGCGCAGAGAATAGTTATCTTATCTTATCTTTGTTCAGCGCTTGTGTATTTATTTATTTATTTTATGTGCTATACATATAAATTTGCCTTGCCTTGCAGGACCTGCTGTCGTGTCATAACATCCTTCTGTCTGCTTCATAGTGAGACCAGTGGCTCATTACCATATATTAGTACTAGGGCTGTCAAACAATTAATTTTTTTTAGTTGATTAATCGCATAGTAATGATGAGTTAACTCACGATTAATCGCATTTTTAACATTCTATTTCAAATCCACTCCAATTGAAGTTAAATGAGATTTTCAAATGTAATGACATTTTTATTCATACCAAATGTACTTAAATCTGTTTGACTTGCTCACAACCTTCTACTAAGAGCTGTTAATGAAAGGGAAAATGTAGGTACCCCAGCTTTAATTTTGCGAGTTTGGTTGCATTTCAGCGTGTCTCCTCCTCTCCTCCATCATCAGAGAACATCAGAGAATGGCCCCTGTGCGTGTATATATATGCGTATTATATGACCACGTTACTGCTGTCACCATCACACACGCACGTGTCCGTAGCATTCTGAGTGATATTATTATAAATGGGCGGGTCATTCGGACATGCGTTAATTATTTTTTAACGCGTTAATGAAAACGTGAATTAACACGATCATTTTGACAACCATAATTAGTACATTTGAAATATTGATCTAAAACAATGTTGTCAACCACTCTCTGAACATGCAGCACTTTAGAAACCGTGTGTTTGTGAAATGTGCTATATAAATAAAGTGGGTCGGATCAAACATGTCTATTCAGTCCTTCCGTATGGCTCTGTGCTCTGCATTTTAAGCGACGGTCAGTTTAACATCGACAAAGGAGAGAAATGGTGTCTACAATTCAATGTATTTTCACATAGCCCTAAATCACAACAGTAGTTATCTCAGAGGACTTTTCAAAGTTGCCAACACAGATCAGAGAATCAAACTGTCAAAACACAAAAAATGCAACCGGAAACACACACACACAAACACACATAGCCATTGATCCATAAGGGGCGAATGATCAATGTCTATAAATGTCCATAATGGTCCTGGATCATCACCACTGTCCTCTTGTCAGAATCTCCTTCATCAGCAAGGAGAAAAGCCATTGGGAGAAAGTGAGAAACCTCGCAAAGGCCCACATTGAGAGGGGGATCTGCTCCTACGGATCAGACGGGCTATGAGTGCCTTAGATTGAGGAGAGTCCTGGATCTTTAGCCTGTCTATCTGTGGGAGCGGATCCCTCTCTCATCGTGGGCCCAACAGAGGTTTCTCACTTTTTACCCACTTTTTTATGAGTGGTTCCTTGCCAATGGAGGAGGGTTTAAGGACAGTTATGATCCAGGACATTTGAGGACATTTATGGACATTTGAGGAAATTTATGGACAGCCCGCTCTCTATGGGCCAATGGGTCCAATGTGTTTGTTATTATTGCATTTCCTGTGTTGCAGTGATCTGTTTTTATGGTAAAGACAACTTTGTAAAGTCCTTTCTGACAACTGCTGTTTAGATCTACTTTATACAAAAAATTGATATACAAATTATTGAATTGAGCGAAACAACTGTAAGATCTGTATGAGAAGTGTAGTTTGCGTGATGTCCTTGTCATATTGTATGATTTTTTAGAGTAAAGTTTCTGACCTGTGGCGAACACGGCTTTGGTGGACAGGGTCTGGTAGTCCATGATGGAGAACTGAGGCAGCTCTATGTTCTCCACTCCGGTCACAGAGCCGGAGTTGGGGCCTCCCTGCCAGTAGAACTCGATGTCGTCTGTGGTGTAGCCGTCTGAAAACATAAGCAGTGATACAGACATGTTTCCATCAGGGCTTTGATTATTGAAATAGTTGTCTTTTATCTGATTCATCTGTTTTGAATGTTGCCTACTGTAGACTTGAATTCTACAGAATCTCTGAAGAATAATACAGAAATGTTTGCATCAAATCCATCAACTCAATGTGTAACCGTCATCTCTATGAAGATGTTCCAGGAACTTTGGTTTTGGTCAAGTTTGGTTTTGGTCAAATGTTTGAAAAAATCCAACTCACTGATTAATCTATGGTAAATGTATTGTTAATGCTGCTCCTTCGTGTTATTTCCTGGTCTCTCTTATGGCACACAACCCTGCCCTGGCCCTGCACAAGAAGGGCCAAAGTTGCCTCTTCCTTCTGAGGAGGCTGAGGTCCTTCGGAGTGAGCAGGCCTCTGCTCAGGACTTTTTATGACTCTGTGGTAGCTTCTGCCATTTACTACGCTGCCGTGTGTTGGGCCCCGGGCAGCACAGAGCGGGACAGAAACAGACTGAACAAGCTGGTCAGGAGGGCCAGCTCCACTCTGGGCTGCTCCCTGGACTCTGTGGAGGAGGTGAGGGACAGGAGGTGCTAGTCAAAGCCACCTCCATCATGAACAATACCTCCCACCCACTGCACAGGACTGTAGAGGAGCTGAGGAGCTCCTTCAGTGGAAGACTGAGGCACCCTCAGTGTAGGAAGGAGCGCTACCGCAGGGCCTTTATCCCCACCGCTGTCAGACTGTACAATAAGTCACTTTAAATGATCACTGTGTGAAAACCTGCACTATTGACACTGTTTCCAATTGACACTTGTCACTTTTGTTGCACATAATTATTGTCACTTTATTGTACATATATCCTGCATGTAACATGTTTGCACATTTCCTCCCTTTGCACAATCTGAGTGTTCTATCCATGCCAAATGTGACATGTAAATTACTCCTCTGTGAGATAAATAAATCTTATCTTATCTTATCTCAACATACTTACTTACTATATCATTTACTAAATGATCATGTTTCTCGCTGGAGAATGCTCTGATGGGTTTATTACTTTATTTCTACAAAAAAAGATTCCAGTAGACTTCCAATGAAACATCACGGCATTACCATCAATCCATCCATTTTCTTCCGCTTTATCCGTTGCCGGGTCGCGGGGGCAGCAGTCTAAGCAGAGACGCCCAGACTTCCCTATCCACACACACTTCCTCCAGCTCATCCGGGGGGACCCCAAGGCGTTCCCAGGCCAGCTGAGAGACATAGTCCCTCCAGCGTGTCCTAGGTCTTCCGCGGGGCCTCCTCCCGGTGGGACGTGCCCGGAACACCTCCCCAGGGAGGCGTCCAGGAGGCATCCGGAACAGATGCCCGAGCCACCTCAACTGGTTCCTCTCGACGTGGAGAAGCAGCGGCTCTACTCCGAGCTCCTCCCGTGTGACTGAGCTCCTCACCCTATCTCTAAGGGAGCGCCCAGCCACTCTGCGGAGGAAGCTCATTTCGACCGCTTGTATCCGCGATCTCGTTCTTTCGGTCATTACCCAAAGCTCATGACCATAGGTGAGGGAGGGAACGAAGATTGACCGGTAAATCGAGAGCTTTGCCTTTCGGCTCAGCTCCCTCTTCACCACAACGGTCCGATACAGCGACCGCATAACTGCGCACGCTGCACCGATCCGCCTGTCAATCTCACGCTCCATTCTTCCCTCACTCGTGAACAAGACCCCGAGATACTTGAACTCCTCCACTTGAGGAAGGACCTCTCCACCCACCTGCAGAGGGCAAGGCACCTTTTTCCGGTCGAGCACCATGGCCTCGGATTTGGAGGTGCTGATTCTCATCCCAGCCGCTTCACACTCGGCTGCAAACCGCCCCAGTGCATGCTGCAGGTCCTGGTTCGTTGGAGCCAACAGGACAACATTGTCCGCAAACAGCAGAGATGAAATCCTGTGGTCTCCGAACCGGACCCCCTCCGACCCCTGGCTGCGCCTAGATATTCTGTCCATAAATACAGTGAACAGAACCGGTGACAAAGGGCAGCCCTGTCGGAGGCCAACATTCACCGGGAACAGGTCTGACTTACTGCCGGCAATGCGAACACAGCTCTGGCTCCGGTCATACAGGGATCGGATGGCCCTCAGCAGAGGACCTCCGACCCCGTACTCCCGGAGAACCCCCCAAAGGACACCCCGGGGAACACAGTCGAACGCCTTCTCCAAATCCACAAAGCACATGTGGACAGGTTGGGCAAACTCCCATGAACCCTCGAGTATCCGATGGAGAGTATAGAGCTGGTCCAGTGTTCCGCGACCGGGACGAAAACCACACTGCTCCTCCTGGATCCGAGATTCGACCATCGGCCGTAACCTCCTCTCCAGTACCTTGGAGTAGACCTTACCGGGGAGGCTGAGGAGTGTGATCCCACGATAATTGGAACACACCCTCCGGTCCCCCTTCTTGTAGAGAGGGACCACCACCCCGGTCTGCCACTCCATTGGCACTGCCCCCGATCGCCACGCGATGTTGCAGAGACGTGTCAGCCAAGACAGTCCTACAACATCCAGAGACTTTAGATAGTCAGGGCGGATCTCATCCACACCCGGAGCCTTGCCACCATGGAGGCTACCAACCACCTTGGTGACCTCAGCCAGGGAGATGGATGTACCCGCCCCAACATCCTCAGCCTCTGCCTCTGTAACGGAGGACGTGACGGGGGGATTGAGGAGAACCTCAAAGTATTCCTTCCACCGCCCGACAATATCCCCAGTCGAGGTCAGCAGCTCTCCACACGCACCGTACATGGTGTTGGCAAAGAACTGCTTCCCCCTCCTGAGGCGTCGGATGGTTTGCCAGAATCTCTTCGAGGCCGACCGATAGTCATGCTCCATGGACTCTCCGAACTCCTCCCAGTCCCGGGTTTTTGCCTCTGCAACAGCCCGGGCCGCGGCACGCTTGGCCTGCCGGTACTGGACAGCTGCCTCAGGAGTCCCCCGAACCATCATGGCTCGATAGGACTCCTTCTTCAGCCTGACAGCATCCCTTACTGCCGGTGTCCACCACCGGGTTCGGGGGTTGCCGCCGGGACCAGCACCAGAGACCTTGCGACCACAGCTACGAGCCGCCGCATCGGCAATTGAGGCAGAGAACATGGTCCACTCGGACTCCATGTCCCCCTCCTCCGCCGGGACCTGGGAGAAACTCTCCCGGAGGTGTGAGTTGAAAGTCCGTCTGACAGGGGGCTCAGCGAGACGTTCCCAGCAGACCCTCACTATACGCTTGGGTCTGCCAGGTCTGACCGGCTTCTTCCCCTGCCAGCGGATCCAACTCACGACCAGGTGATGATCGGTTGACAGCTCCCCCCCTCTCTTTACCCGAGTGTCCGAGACACGCGGTCGAAGGTCAGATGATACGACAACAAAGTTGATCATCGACCTCCGGCCTAGGGTGTCCTGGTGCCACGTGCACTGGTGGACACCCTTGTGCTCGAACATGGTGTTCGTGATGGACAAACCGCGACTGGCACAGAAGTCCAACAACTGAACACCGCTCGGGTTCAGATCAGGGGGGCCGCTCTTCCCGATCACCCCTCTCCAAGTGTCACTGGCGTTTCCCACATGGGCGTTGAAGTCCCCCAGGAGAATAACGGAGTCCCCGGGCGGTGCACCGTCCAGTACCCCTCCCAAGGACTCCAAGAAGGCCGGGTACTCTACACTGCCGTTAGGCCCGTAGGCCGTCACAACAGTGAGAGACTTGTCCCCCACCCGGAGGCGGAGGGACGCGACCCTCTCATTCACCGGGGAGAACTCCAACACGTGGCGGCTGAGATGGGGGGCAATGAGAATGGCCACCCCAGCTCGCCGCCTCTCCCCGCGGGAAACTCCAGAAAAGTGGAGCGTCCAACCCCTCTCAAGGAGTTGGGTTCCAGAGCCCAAGCTGTGTGTGGAGGTGAGGCCGACTATCTCTAGTCGGTATCGCTCAACCTCCCCCACGAGCTCGGGCACCTTCCCCCCCAGTGAGGTGACGTTCCACGTCCCAAGAGCCAGATGTTGTGTGTGCGGACTGGGTCGCAGAGGTCTCCGCCTTCGACTGCCGCCCAGTCCTCTCAGCACCGCTTCACCACGGACCCCTCTGCAGGTGGTGGGCCCACAGGAGGGACTGCCCACGTCATCCCTTCGGGCTGAGCCCGGCCGGGCCCCGTGGGCTAAGGCCCGGCCACCAGGCGCTCGCATACGGGCCCCGACCCCAGGCCTGGCTCCAGGGTGGGGCCCCGGCATTACCTTGTTTCATTATTCACATTGTGTATCGAGATATTTGGTGTGAATTTAGAGGGATTTTTCTCTCGTACAGTTCAGCTCTAATGTAAATAATTCAGAAGAAATATACTTGAATATTGTGGCTTTGACCCAATAGAAATGTTTTTGTTAAAAATAACTGTCCTAAAACAGAGAATCCTGTCTTTGCTCACACAGAAGTGTGTCACTTACAGCTCTCTATCTCCAGGGTGCAGTTCTGCTCGTCCAGAGGATAGCGGCGCAGGTCCATCATGCAGGCGGCGGTGGTGGTGATCCTGCATCATGGAAACAGACTTCATACATGACACGTCTCCATTTGGAAGAGAACTGAGTGTGACCCGTTTGTCGTGTGGATGCAGTGATATAAAGATGTTTGAAAAGACTTGTGAATGTCCTTCACAGATGAGCTGTGCGGCTTGTTTCCATGGAAATGTTCCTTTGGCAATAATCCACAGTATCACACTGCATGAAATCTGTCTCTGAGAGGAATCCACAGGCTTTGACTTTCTATATCTGCTTAAAGAAGCAGAACACAGGCGTGTGTTGAGTTACTTTATTGCAGCGGGTCAACCTCAGTTTGTATTTGGAAAAAAGGATTACTTTTATCAAACATGCGTTTGGATGTTTGTTTCTGAACAAATTAGTTGAGTTACGGTTTGTTTAGATTTAACCAAAACTGACCAAAGGTGAAAAAAGCTTGTAATGAAGGTTTTTGATTTTTTCTGTACTGTTGATGTTGTTCTTTTTTGTTGTTGCTGTATTGTATTTTAATCTGTAGCACTTTAAGGTGTTCATGGAAACGTAAGGTGCATTATAAATAAAATGAATTATTATTATTATTATTATTATTAGTATAATTATTATTAGTAGACTGATGGGCCAAGGATTAGATTGAATAAAGACTGAATACATTAAATAACACGGTTTTCTTGAGAACATTAGCTCTAAAAGTAGTATAACATGTCAATGCTGCATGTTCAACATTATCAATGAAAATCAGTCCAGGGGCCTTACATCAGGAGCTAGAGCTGAAGTTGTGCATCTAAAAGCAGATAACTTCTTAGCTCTCATCTCCTCTTTCTGTGATCTGTGCAATAATCTTATCGTTAAGAACTGCACAAGCACTTTGTTTGGGCATGTGCAACGTACTTTTAAATCTTCACTGCACAAGTACAATAGTCATTGTATGTACTTTGTTGCTTATTGTGTAAATACTGATTTGTATCTTTGTGTTGATGGGACTGAGCGATACTATGAAATATTCTATTTTTGTGCAGACGAGCAGATTGTCCTGTGTTTGTGTCCAACAGCCATGAGTCTAACACAAATCTCACTGGAGGGACAAGCTGAACCTTGAGTCTTGAACAAACACCAGAGTAGATCCGTTACCTGAGGCCGTAGAGGACCGTCCCGTCGGGGTGCAGCCGGATCATACGGTTCTTCACGGTGACTCCGTGCACAAAAGACTTCTTGTCGTTGATGAAGTAGGTGTCTGGGACCCACAGCTGGTCGGCCACACGGTTGTCCAGCGTCAGGTTGAGGGGGATGCCTGTGTAGGACAGGCGCTTGTCCCTCCAGGACTGCTGGAAGTACATGGTGATGGTGTAGTCCTGTGGAGACAGAAGACACACAGTCCAGTTCCACGTCATGTTTGCTCCTACCATCTTAGCCGTCGTTTCTGGTTTAGGCCCCATTACGTGTCTTTATAGAAAGGTTTTGACCATCTCTCAAAGTAGTTATCATCGCACTGCATTTCAAAGAATTCAAAGCATTAGTACAGCCCCAATTAATTGATGCAGGAGGGTCTGAGGACAGTGGTGATGATCCAGGATACTCGACGTTCAGCTACATTTTTTGACATTTATGGACATTGGTCATCCGCCCCTTATGGACCAATGGCTCTATGTGTTTTCTATCATTGCATTCTATGTGTTTGATTCTCTAATCTGTGTTGGTGAATTCAGCGGTTTTGTAAAGTCCTCAAGATAAGTCCTGTTGTGATTTAGGTCTATACAAGAATTAATTGAATCAAATAGAATTAAATGTGGAATCAAACTAAAAAGTGACTAAGGGGACTCATCTTATTCAGAGTTTTCTTATTTCACTGTAAATGATGAAAACATGCATCCTTACTGTGTGCAGCTCCACAGACCTGACTCACCCCTGTGGCCACACCCCTTGGGGAGAGGTGTCGGTCCTTTGGCCATGCTCTCCCACAGAATGGCCTATAACTGTATCTGCTTTAGACTCATGCAGGCAACATACCACCTCTAGAGAGTTACATATTTCCACTAAATCTAAATATAGAAAGATGTTTGAAAGCAAAGACAGATACATCATATCATCATGCTGTATGTCGACGAACAATCATAACGCCCTCACTCAAGGAAGCCAAATGGGGAAGTGCTCATGAACAAAGTTTTGCTCCAACTCGCTCCAACATTGCTATTGACTTAGATTGAAAAGTGAACTCTTCTAGGTCAGTAACCGTTTGCGTCACACTTCCCATTTTGGGCTTCAGAAATCTGTGGTTTTGCGCTCTATATATACTTAATTCCAGTGGGAAACTCTAGCTTGCCTTAGCAACCGTCTTAGCAACATGTCTGCCCTGTTACGGCGCATGGCTAACCTTCGGCTTTAAGGCTCACACTACGTCAGCGCTCGGTCAGTCCAATCCTAATATACGTTCTATGATACACATATGTGATTGGAGAGACAGATACATTAATGGACTCATGTTGTGGCGGTTAAGCTGTGATTCTGAGTTTTTTTAACCTCCGTCTTTCGTCTGACACTGGTTCATATCAGGTTTAGCTGATATTAAAAGCCACAGTATCAGGATCGCTATAAGGACATGAAAAAGCAAGATCGGTGCGACCCTGATTCTCACACTTATAATTTCAGAATTAAATGACAATGTTCCAGATTTCACAAAACTCAACTGCCTAAAAAGTTGTAACAATTAAGGCTTGACCACCACTAAGTTCTTTGAATAATTGTTAACTATTTTAATCGTCAACGTCTCTCTACACCAGGCTTGACCAAACTAAGGCCCGAGAGCAATTTACGGCCCCTAAATGTCATGTTATGTGGCCAAACAACACAAGTTCACAGCGTCATCCAACCAACTTCAGCTCTCCCAAAAATGCATGTTAACCTCGCTGTAAAGATCAGAACCTCTAGAATCCAGCTGTTTGCATTAATAGTAATAACTGATCAGTGTTTTTGTCCCATAATCCCATAAATGGCGCAATGTGACTGTGATATAATTCTTCACTCTTGTAAACTATGTGTCAATTTAAAGATACATTTTTAAATCTCAAAACAACCTGAATCCAGTCAAAACTGTCGACCCATGAGAATGTTCAACTTCACTCCGAAAAATTGACTTTAAAGGGACTGTATTTAATATTTTCATTTTAAATTACATCTACAGGTCACACTTACAAAATCTTATCATCATGTAATTCTTAAGTTATTCTTGAAACAAAATACAATGGAAATAATGTAATTTTGTTTACAATTTTCAAGTAGATTTTAGAATGAGAGAGTAGAACGAGGATCTCTTTTGGGCTGCCAGATGAAATTCAGCTGGTTTTCGGATCTCTTCTTTGATTCATACATTTTTACAAACAAGAAACATGTCTCCTAACATTCGTTTAAACGTATTAGCAGAAGCAAAAATAAGTAACCAAATCCAGCACACTAAGTATTTCATTTAGGCCAAACACCAACAAAACTGTGATTGTAATTTCACTGTTTTTTTTGATGGAAACAAAAAAACAACAACACACTACAACAATTTTGGCTAGTTTGCAATGTCCATCCCAACAAGGGCTTTTAACACAATTACGACAACTTTATCACAGCAGTAAGAACACATACCAATCTGAAATTCCCCCACTGTGGGACAAATAAAATCTCTCTTAATCTATTACATACGGTTGAAATGATCCTTAAAAAACAGCCCTACACACAACAAGCATCACAACACAACACAACACGCGGGGGTGGGAGGGGGCGGCGGAGCACTCTCACTCCCAACCTCTCACATCATTCTTTTAGTACCAAGACAGCTGACGGCAACATGTGCATGAATTACAGCTGCGAGAGGAAAAGAAAAAGAAAAGAAAGAAAACAAAAGCCATTTCATCACAAAAGCGCTGTTTACAGATGCGTGCTCTCCCCTTGATCTGCTAAACTAATGTTAAAACAAGCCGTCAAAAGCGAGAAGACCCTTTTAACTTCTCATCTCTTATCATCTGCGTCTTCTTCTTTCTAAAGTGGGCCACTCGTTCCACCACCACCAACTTCTCAACCTCTGAAGTCTGTTGCGGGTCATTGCAGCATATTTGACTTGACTCGTCCTGGCTTAACCTCGGGCAGGCTCTTAAGTTTTTTTCTTCTTTTTCTCTCACTTCTCTTGTGTTTTCTGTGCACTGCAGTAAACAAAAAATATAGAAATTCATGCCCTGTCATCACTACTGCAGTGTGATGCTGCATGACCTACTTCCTCCCGCGCTACTGTATATAGATAGATACAGTGGGGATCTCTCTAGTCTCTTGTTTGATCTGCTATAGGCGCAGTGGGGTTCTCTGCCTCCCGGTCTATACTAGCACTACTTTCAATTACTGCCGTGCACGGGGAAGTATACGGTAGGTGCTCCAGGCTCCACCCGGATTGAAAAATATTCGCCTCTTTGCATTTTGTATATAGGGGCTACAGTGGGTACTCTCTCCGTATCCTGAACATAAGGCAACTCGAGACGTGAGATTGGGATTATACAAGGAAATGAGACGAGATTTATGGATATTTATCAACATTTATGGACACTTGGTCACTGTTGCCCCTTTTGGACCAATAACTCCATGTGTTTTTTTTTTTATCATTGCATTTCTGTGTTTGATTCTCTGATCTGTGTTGGCAAATTTTGATGGTTTTGTAAAGTCCTCTGAGATAAACTACCTTTGTGATTTAGGGCAATACAAGAACGTACGTTTAAGTGAATTAGATTTGGGGCGTAGAAATGGCTGTTTTAGATCTGGGAAAGCACCGATCCAACGATGTCATATCCGATATCGCTTTCACCAAGTCTCGATTCCGATACTGAGATATAGACTCGCTACCATGGTGATAATCTAAGAAACAAAACCCAATAACAATATATTATCATACTTTTTGATGGTTCTGCTAAGTTTTGTACCCTAATCCAGTTCAATCCACTTTATTTAAATAGTGCATTTAATAAAAAGTTCCCAAAGTGCTGCTCAAAGATCCAAGGAACTCATTTAAATACTCGAGTCTGCCAGCTTTAAATGTATTCTCATGATACTGAACAATTATTATCATTATTTATGTGTGTTTTTGTTTATCTAATGTATGTATTTTTCTCTCAATGCTTATAAAAGTACTTATCTTTATTTATTGTATGTAAATATGTAGTATAAGTATTTATTTTAAATCTATGTTATTATTATTCATATTTTACTGTTATTATCCATCTAAACTTTTCAGATTACCTCCTCCCCCTCTATCCCATGCATTTCCCCTATGTCTAGCTTTATGGCTGCATGCTTTTTTATACGCATTTATGCAAGTGTGTATTGTGTGTGTATATAGAACATGAGTAAAATAAAATAAAAACACTGATTCTGAGATCAAAAATCATTCAGAAACTTCTCAGAGAATTTCACAGTTTGTGCTTTTGTCTGTTCAGTACGGAAACTTTCTAAAACTATTCTAGTTTTGATACTATTTTTTAAAGTCTACCAATATTGTATTTTTGATGCTCCCCTTCCCTATAGTACATTTCTGCAGATACGGGACATGCATCAATACCAGGAAAGGAACTAAAACTATAAAAATGTCAAGGTTGACGTATTATAAAATGTGTCTAATGTTGCTAATTAACAGTAACCCTGAGAGTACAGTGTAGCCTAAGTCACCTACATAAATCAAATTCATCTTAAAAGAACAAATGCCAAATCCAAAATATTTATTTCTGTATTGTCACCAAAGAACACCAGTAAAGTATCTTTGTCAGTGCATCCCTGGTTGAATCGTGTTATTATAAGATCTCCCTATTTTACCACCAGAAAAACATTATTGAACGCAAGGTTTTAGCACAACACATGAACAATTGTACTCGTAATCTTTTTTTGGGAAACTGCCTTCACCAAATGCTCAACTCACGAGCACGTAAGCCAAGCCAAATCCAAGAACACTGGGGAATCATTTCACACAGAAAGATCACACAATGTTGAAATACTACGCCACACAAACACAACCGGTCTTTATCTCGATGTGGCTTTACAACAACGGGACAATCATTTTTCCTGCTTTTGAGAGTGAGAATGTATTCGAATATGTGACAAAAATCACCTCAAAGTTGAGATAAAGGCAAAAAAGCAGCAATATTTACAGAGGTGGTACGTTGCCTGCTTGATTCTATGGAAGAAAAGGGTTAAATAATACATTATAATATGGATACATTGCTTTTAGAGAGATGCACGTTATAAGCCATCTGGGGAAGATTATAGCCAAACAAACAATTATGCATGCTTTGTGGAGACCCAGTTCACAATAAGGACACGTTTTATACTTGTCAAACATAACTAGGATAAAACTATAGGCCTGTACTGTATGTGTCTCTAGGCTCTGCAGCTCCCCTGTGTATTTCTATATCTATTCCTTCTGTACGGTCTGTGTAGGAGCAGTTCTTTCCTCTCTTGCTACAGTATATGAGGTAGCCTATATGCTTTCCGACTGCATGACGTTCTTGCATTCACATACATTAAAAAAGGCTGCCGTGAGAAATTGTGTATGCAAGTCCAGTCTCTTTTCTTCAGGGGGATTATGGTAAATAGCATTGACTTTGGAATGTGCAAAAAAGAGAAAACGGGTGTAAACCGCACTGCAAATACATTCATCTCAATATTGTGGCAAGTCTTTGAAGTATTATTAGTATAGAGGGCATGCTGACACTTTGGTCTAGCCCCACCCTCTGCATATGTTATAATTTATGCATGCCTATCTGCAGAATTAATATATTATATAATAGCCTCGGAAAACAAGTGCAAGCCTCCACTGCATCAGCCCGTGCGTTTTCCTGTTTCAGCCCAAAATGCACCGTCTTTCACCTGCTGCTCATGGCTTTTTACTGCATCAGTGCTCCACAAACTCCGGGCCCTTATGTAATTACTGCAACCTGCTCCTTTCGCTCACTCCGGGGAGCGGGCCCCCCCTCCTCACCCCCCCACGTATGCACCCATGACTGAGAAGTGCTATACTAACCATGTTGACTTCAGAGACCATGTCAATGCTGGCGATGTCAATGCTCATGCCAACGTCCACTGGTGCGCCTATGTGGGAGAGGGGACAGCGTTATACCAGTGCGTCAGGGCCAATTCGGAACACTGCAGCCTCGGCGCGCGCAGACCTACCTCCAAAATCAGGCCTCAGGCGGATGTCATATCCCTTCAACAGCTTGTCTACCGTGGCTTTCACATACGACATGTTACTAGGCTCGCTGGCGCTGTATGTATAAGCACAGAATGGGACATTGTGAAGTTGCGACATTATGGACGGACTTGAGTATTTCAAACCCACGGCGCGTGCCCTTTCGTCTTACCTCTGCGAAGCCCGCGTTGGCGAAAGCAGCAGTAGTAGGACCATGCAGAAAAGCCCGCATAGACCGCAGAGCGTCACGCCGGCCCTCATGTCCATCCCCGGTCCGCTTTCACCTGAGCCCGAGAGAGAAGGATCCGACAACCGGAGTCTCAAGCTGCGCACTTACAGCCACAGAACACGCGTCGACCTCCCCCCCCACATCCACACGCATTCAGCCGAGGACGGGAAGAAAAGAGAAGATGGGACGAAAGAGCAGGAGGAGGAGGAGGAGGAGGAGGAGGAGGAAGGAGGAACGAGGAAAGAAAAAAAAGGGAAAAAAGAAAAAAAACTCAAACGTATAGAAAGATGGAGTAAAAAAAAAAAAAAAAAAAAAGAGGAAAGAGGGCGCGTTAGTTCATTCGTCTTCTGCTCCAGCGCGCACGGACACAGAACGTCAGTGCATGAAAGCGCACGGCTGCGTGAAAAGAAGGCTGAGCAGGAGGAGGATGTGCTGGAGACTGCAGTGAGGAGAGGAGCTCTGCCTATCGCTGCTGCTGATGCTGCTGCTGCCGCTCACTCCAGCCCCCGAACACACTGGGATACGTGAACAGTGCGGCGGTCATGCGTGCCTTCCGACGCACGTGTTTCTTTTGGGCTAGTAGGGAGGGAGGGAGGGAGAGAAGTAGGGGGGGTGGATGGGGGGGACAAACAAAATGACCAGCCTAATTGGGGATATTCAGTTTACGTGATATAAGGCTTTTTCCCCATCACTGTGTGCGTGCGTTTGTGCGTAATGGCGTGTGCTTATGTGTGTATGTGTGTGTGTGTGTGTGTGTGTGGTTTTCTTTTCTTTTTTTTTGCCTACCCACTCTCTTTTGCAACCAGCCCAGTTTCTAACCTTACCTCCCCCACCTGGCTGCCGCACGCCACCTGAATCATTAATAAACACAATTTTGTGTCCTCCATCGTGCACACACAAACGCACACCTGAAATCACCTCGAGCTATCATCTCTGGATAGTTACTGAGATAAAACGCGGTCAAACGCACGCGCACTGCCCCTATAGGCTTCTGCAATGGAACATATTTGGCTATAGATGTCACACTGATAAGATATGTAATGTATTTGAGTACAGGGCATTGTCATGAAGTTGCACGTTGTAGATTAGAGTCCATATTTTTATAACTTGTTTTTTTTTTCCTTTTTTGCCTGAATGTTTAACAAAATGTAGCTCGCGAAAATTCAATTTAGAAGACGTCAGCCCAAGCTACCCCCTCCGGGCCGATTCACATCCTCAGCCTATGGCGCAGCAAACGCCCCCTTCCAATCACACCGTGCCGGACAGACCAGCCGCTTAAAAGCGGAGCAACTCCCATTTTACGGCCTCCCGAAGCCTCGCATGCTCCTGCAGCCTCGCAAAGAATCGTTCTGGAGGAATCGCTTTGTCTACTCACGCTTACTCGTGCGTGTCCCTGCTGTCCTCTGTCTTGCTGCGTGTGGTCTGCTCCTCCTGTGGCTGCACCTGCTGCGGGTCTCGTGCGTGGTCCGTGGGTCTTTGCCGCTCTCCTCCTTTGCGGGCTCTTTCCGCGGGTTTGCCGCTGCTCGTCTCGTCGCAGCCTGCTGCTGCATACGGCCGGTCTAGCCCGTTGCGGTGGGAGCCGTGCGCATCCCTGTCTCCTTGTGCCGGTACGGCGTGGTCCCGTCGTGTTGTCCCTTGTCTTCTGGCGCTGTGGGTAAAGTATGAGATCCGCGGACGGTTTTTCCCCTCGCTTTGTACTGCAGGCTCAGTTGGCCCAGTGCTGGTGGGCAGGCTTCAGTTTAAAGCCCTCGCATTAGTCTGCAGGCCCTCTTTAACCAAGCTCCGTTAAATCTTCACTCTGACTGCAAGCTCCGTTTAATCCCTCACATTGGAATGCAAGACCTCAGTTTTAATCGCTCTCATTGGACCGCATGCTCTCAGTTTTAATCCCTCACTTTGGCCTGCGGGCTCTGTTTAAATCCCTCTCTGGACTGCAAGCGCTGTTTAAATCCCTCATATTGGACCGCATGCTCTGTTTTAATCCCTCACTTTGGCCTGCAGGCTCTGTTTAAATCCCTCTCTTTGGACTGCAAGCGCTGTTTAAATTATATCTGGAACTACTTATACCTGGAACTGTTGTACCGTATCTGGAACTGCCTATATATGGAACTGCCTATATATGGAACCGCTATATTGGAACTGCTCATATGGTACGGCTATACATGGAACTGCATACATGGTACTGCCTATATCTGGAACGCTATATTTAAAAAAAAAAAAAAAAAAAAAAAAAAAAATATAAATAAATATAAATAAATATAAATAACTATAAATAAATATAAATAAATATAAATAAATATAAATAAATATAAATAAATATAAATAAATAAATAAAACTGCAGGCCTGTTGGATCCCTCTCACTGGACTGTAATCTCTCAGTTTAAACTCCTCACTTGGACTGCGGGCTCAGTTAATCCCTCACTTGGACCGTAAAACTGTTAAATCCCTCACACCGGACTGCAGCTCTCGGCTTAATCCCTCATTGGACTACAAGCTCTCTGTTATAAATCCCTCTTTAGGACTGCGGGCAACGTTGAATCCCTCTCTCTGGACTACAAGCTCTCAGTTTAATCCTTCACCTTGGACTACAGGTCATTTAACTCCCTCACACCGGACTGCAGGCTCTCAGTTAAACGCCTCACTTGGACTACGGGCCCGGTTTTAATACCTCACTCTGGACTGCAAACTCTATTAAATTCCTCACATTGGACTGCAAGCTCTGTTTAGGTCCCTCGGCGTCTCGTGTCCCGCAACCTCTTCCCGGCTCTCCGTGAGCCCCAAGTCGGCACGCGGCTCGGGCGCGGGAGGTGTCCGTGTGCTACGTCATTGGCCCCTTCTCTCCGTCTCGCTCTAACCCGACGGGCATCGCCACCCGCAAGCACTCCAGGAAGAAGCGTCTCATATTCGTCCTCTCCTGTCCCCGCTCCGGGCCCGCCCGAGCATCAACAGCCCCTTCCCTCCAGCGCCCCTCTCTTGCGGAGGCGCCGTGCTGGATCCTGCTAAATTATGTACGGCTCCCCTCCGTCCCGCATCTCCTCGACGACTTTCTCGTGGTAGACCCACCCTCGGACGGCTCCGGGAGCTCTCTCCGCAACCTCAAGCTCGCTTTCTACGCCCTGGGAGTCCCCCTCTCCGAGGAGAAGACCACAGGCCCGCCACAGCTCTAGAGTTTCTCGGCATCCGCCTCGACACGCGCGCCACGGAGGCCTCCCTCCCGCTGGGCAAACTCGAGCGCATCCGCGCTATCTCCCGGTCTGCCCCGTCATCCCTGTCACTTTCGAAGCGTCAGTTGCTCTCCCTTCTCGGGCGTCTTGATTACGCCATCCGCATAATTCCTCAAGGTCGCTCCTTCATCTCCAGACTCCTCTCCCTCGCCGGCTCCGTCTCCTCCCTCAACGACGCGGTCTGCCTGGCCGCGGGGTGCCGCTCCGACCTGGCGTTCTGGTCCCGCCTGCTGAGCCGTCGGAATGGCGTCTCCTTTTTTCTACAGCAACGTCGTCCTATCCTCGGACGCCCTGCGGTTCTTCACGGACGCAGCCCCGTCCGTGGGTTTTGGGGGATTCTTTCAGGACCAGTGGTTCGCCGGGCCCTGGCCCGACGCCTTCCCTCAAAACATCTCCTCCGCGCTCCACGAGATATATCCCGTGACCGTAGCCTGCGCGCTGTGGAGCCATATGTGGCAGAGGAAAAGGATTTCCGTGATGTGCGACAACCTCGACGTTGTCGAGGTTCATCCTCTCCCCAAATCATGTCTTTTCTTAGACGTATCACATGGCTCTCAGTCCTGAACAATTTTATTATCACTGCTCGTCGCGTCCCTGGTCACCTTAATTGTCTCGCTGATTCTCTCTCTCGTTTCAAATTCCAGGAGTTCCGACGCCGCTGCCCTTCTGCCAACCCATCGCCATGCCAGATCCCCTGCATGGAATCCCTCGCCCCGGACTAATCCCTCCGTCTCTTCGCCTCCTCATCTCCTCCGCGGCATCCTACATGAAGATGGGCCTCTCACCTTCCACTCTGAAATCATACAGTCTCGCTTGATCCATGATGCACTACACTCGCCTCCGCTCACGGAAAGGAGATCTCAACGGACCGTCATTCTCACTCTCGATAACCTCCCGATGTCCTCCAACTGGGTCAGAGCCCAACTCAAGTCTGTACTGCTGCTTTGTAACCTGTCTCCCTATCTCTACACAGCCCACTCCTTCAGAATAGGCGCCGCCACGCGTGCCGCGTCCCTGGGTCTCCCCCATTCTGCCCTTCAGCAGTTGGGCCGCTGGTCATCATCGGCCCTCTCCTCATACATCAGGCCTGACACTCCGACTATCCTCGCAGCCCAGCGCCTCTTGGCATCTCCATAAATCACTCGCAAAACTCCTGGTGGCGGCAGCAGCTGAGTATCCGCATAACGATCACAGCATATAACGGTCACAACAGATAGCGGTCATAGCTTAGTGATAGCGGTCATAGCGTCAGTGATAGCGGTCATAGCGTCAGTGATAGCGGTCATAGCGTCAGTGATAGCGGTCATAGCGTTAGTGGTAGCGGTCACAGCGTTAGTGTTAGCGGTCACAGCATAGCAAAAAATGGTTAGCGCATAAACGGTTCACAGCATAGAGATAGCGGTCACAGCATAGCGATAGCGGTCACAGCATAGCGATAGCGGTCACAGCATAGCGATAGCGGTCACAGCATAGCGATAGCGGTCACAGCATAGCGATAGCGGTCACAGCATAGAGCAGCCACGACGTCTGTCCCCTGCAAACCAGGCTGCAAAACCCCATCAACTCACAGCCTTTTTGGGGATTCTACGCGCCCCAGCGCAGGAGCCTCCCCTAACTGAAGGCCGCACCGGGGCCTAGGGCGCCAAACCACCTCTCATTAAAATACTCAAAAGCTTTCTTGTTTCACGTCTCTCCAAATTGAAATGTAGCTCGCGAAAATTCAATTTAGAAGACGTCAGCCCAAGCTACCCCCTCCGGGCCGACTCACATCCTCAGCCTATGGCGCAGCAAACGCCCCCTTCCAATCACACCGTGCCGGACAGACCAGCCGCTTAAAAGCGGAGCAACTCCCATTTTACGGCCTCCCGAAGCCTCGCATCCACCGCCTCCCCTCCTCCTCCTCTTCACCCTGCCTCCAACCTGCCTTCAAACCTGCTTCACGCTGCCAAGATGCCGCCACCAGTACCTAGGCCCCGGGGGGATTCTACGCGCCCCAGCGCAGGAGCCTCCCCTAACTGAAGGCCGCACCGGGGCCTAGGGCGCCAAACCACCTCTCATTAAAATACTCAAAAGCTTTCTTGTTTCACGTCTCTCCAAATTGAAATGACATTATCATAAAACTCTCCACGATCTCCATGGAAACAAGCAGAACCCACCAAAACATTTTTTTTTCTCCCTCTCCCAATTAAAAAGCCCTATAATCTAACACACGGACTATAAGTGTTTAATGGCAGACCGTGGAGCGTCCTCAGGCAACTCAATGTTTTTAATGACAATGAGGGCGAGGACCCCGCAGACTGAGTGTGCATGTGTGTGTGTGTGTGTGTGTGTGTGTGTGTGTGTGTGTGGTCCACTTCTAGAAAGCATAGTGGCATTCTGGCAGCATGAGCTATGACCCCAGAATAGACAGGTAGCCTATATAAAACATAAATAATTGAACTATGTCGGTGTTATGGGCTATTAGGAAGAGGTCTTTTCACCTGCTGTTAAAGAGAATAGAAAGCCTCGCCAGCAGAGGGCAGTGTAATGCAAGGTGATGGTGTAACAGTTTCGTTGGGAAGTTTATTTTGCTACAGTTTTAACACCAGGTATCCCAGAATTCTGAAACTACAAGAACTCCCAGGGTTCTTTAGTTCCATTCGAATCTATGTAATTCTGAGAAATTCCTCCTTAAAGGTTTTTTTTATCTGCCAGCTTTATTAAAAGTAAATCATTTATAGGGTTTTTACTTTTTGCTCATATTGTAATAAGCGCTAAAACTGGTGAATATGACTTGAAATATGTTTAAATAAAACAGTTTGTTGAAAGGCTAAATGCTAACTGCTGACAAAAAACAGTGTGTTGGCATGGTAACGAGCACTTTCTCTTCTCTGGTAGAAAACCAAGCTGACTAGGCTCAGAAACAGTCCAGAACCAGTCCAGAACCAGGACCTGGGAGAAAAATTGATTTAACTGATTTCCAAGCGACTGATAATGTCTACATTTGAACTACATTTATGTAGATTTTTATTTATGCATGACTTTGACCAAGAGCCAAAGCAATTTCCTAGTTTGTGACTTCCTGTTACTCACATGACAATAAAAGGGATTCTGATTCTGAAATGTATATTCAAATGAATGAATTAAAGGCATTGAGTACTCAGATTTCAGATGCATTCATAAAAAATAATGACATAATTTTCTACAAAAAGTAAAAATAATTATCAAAATTGTACATACACTTAGTAATTACACTTCCATAAATAAAAACCATCATCGGAGCTCTAGTGTTAAATCAGTGCAATGATGAATCCAACCAATTGTCTTTTCATTTGAAAGTAAAGGGAGGATACACGTTGCCCATTGTTACACAGGACGACAGTCGGTATTGTGCGTGTATTATCATGAGCAGCGCGTCAGTCCAGCGCGCATCCAACCGTGAGCGTCAGTCACCAGCTTGTTGAGAGCCACGGGCGGAGGAGCGAGACGCGCCTCATCTCGCGCTCAACTTGGAAGCTTTGCAGACGGGGAAATAGATGGATTTGCAGAATTACAGCAACAATTGAAACACACATGGTTCTGACAGGTCACGGACAACGAACAGAGACATCATCCACCGCGCGCCATGACCACGCTGCTCTCCGCCTGCTGCCTCCCCCTGCTGCTGCCCCTGATGCTGCCCCTGCTCCTGCTGAGGTGAGTGTGGACACTGACCGCATCTGTCATCAACTTAACCATCCGCAAAATCACAGGAAATCCCGGTTTGTTCCACGGTTCGCGCGCATAGGTCAAACGCGTTAGAGTTGAAACTTATATATTTTGTCTCTTAGTTGTGAAGCAAAGATCAACTCGACGCGCTCCTCCAAAGACATCTACACTTTCACCAAGATTCTGGACAGCCTGCTGGATGGATACGACAACCGTTTGAGACCAGGGCTAGGAGGTAATTTGAATTCATTCTCTCACTCTGTTATGATCAATCTGCCTTAACAGAGAAAAGGTGAATACAGTACAAATCAATTAAAGAAGGCATGCAAGGCTTTCTAATGACGACTATTATGCTATTGTTTTTTCCCCATTGAAAGCTATTGTTATTGTCTCATAGATCGAGTGACCGAGGTGAAGACTGACATCTATGTGACCAGTTTTGGACCAGTCTCAGACACAGACATGGTAAATCCCCACTACTCATAATGCACATATATCACACACATGTAGCAGCATGCTTAATTCATTTCAATTAATTCTTGTATAGCCCTAAATCACAACTATATCGGAGGACAGAGAGAATCAAACAGGTTGAACACACGCAATGTATTGATGAAAAGCACATAGAGGTCTTGGTTCATAAGGGGCAGATTACCAATGTCCATAAATCTTGATAAATGTCCATAAATGTTGTTGAATGCCGAGCGCGTCCTGGATCATCATCACATTTTTACATTTTGGACAGGTCCGTGCTCTGTTGTAATCTATGCAAAGGTGGACAGCTGCTTTTGGTTCATTGTCGCTTCCTTTGTGGCACCTCCTCAAATATTTAAGTGGCTCAGAAGCAGAGGTATGGAGAGTGCACGCTGAGTGGGTCCAATTGAAACAACACATCTATAAAAAGGGGGGAAAGAGCTCGGTTTCTTATGTATTTTTTACTGATTCCATCAAAGTTGCATCAGTTAATGTCACTTAGTCCGTATGTGTCCTTTGTGCGCTCTTGCTGCCCCATACCATTTGGACGTACAGAAAACCTCTCAGAACCTGCGCGCTCCAGATAAACTGCACAATCTGAGCAACGCAGTGATTTTTCTCTGGGGACGCAATGATATAATTTAAATCTCAAAGACGCAAACTCTATTAAAAGTCTAAAAAAAGTCATGTTTGCCTATATTTACACGGTAATAATACAGTATAACCCTGTGTGTGTGTGTGTGTGTGTGTATGTATTTGTGTGTGTGTATGGGTACTGTACTGTATAGGTGCATCCCAAAGTTTCTCACCTTGTTTTTCCTTTGCTATGTAGGAGGGTCTAATATACTGTAAGGACACTTTTTAATGTTTAATTTACAATATTTACATTCATTAGTTCACATTTACACTCAACATTCAACAGCATTTATGGACATTGGTCGCCTGCTCTTATGGACCAATACCAATGTTTTCTTTTATCATTGCATTTCTTGTGCTTGACAGTTTGATTCTCTAATCTGTGTTGGCGAATTCAACGGTTTTGTAAAGTCCTCCGAGATAACTTCTGTTGTGATTTAGGGCTGTACAAGAGTAACTGGATTGGAATTGAACTGAATAGATCACTGATTAGTTGTCCGATTATTCTTTAGATTAACCGATTAGTTGTTTAGGTCCAAAAGCTCAGAGAATATGACACTTTTTCTAGATTTGACCAATTCAAAGCTCAAAATGATGCTCCTGGGAGAACAGAGTGGACTCGTTCTGAAGTCATGATACAAGTATCTGAAAACCTCTTCTCAGCATATTCAAGTCAAAAAAATCCAATTAATCTGTTAATATATTAGTCGACCACTGTTTAGATAATGTATTACTTATTACTGATTCATTGATTCACACTTCTGATTTACACGTGTAGTTCTAAGGCAGGTCACACAAGATAAAAGTACAAAAGGGAAAGTAAAAACTATTTTTTAAACGACTGATTTTCTTTAGGTTTCAGTCATTTTCTAAAGAGCTGTAGGTTTGATTACTAAACTAAGAAGCCAAAGAAAAGGTGTAGAGAGGAAAGAGGCACAAATCAAGGTTGACCAGGGCTAATACTTTTTCCAGTGAAACAAAATGATATTATATTGATTCATTGACGACTTAAAAGTTTTGTCATGCCTTTTATTTAAACTGTAAATGTTTATATTTGTATGTAATTGCCAGTGTCTATATTGTTACATTTCCCAGCTGCCGATTCAGCACACAATGCCTGCAAACGCTTGGTCTCCTCACAAACACACAAACACACAAAGATGCATTTATCTCCGAGGGCCGTGGTACGCTCTGGGTCTGTCCTGATGTGGGAGGTGCCGTGGCGCTCAGGCTGACGGATATGAGAGCTGACACTTGCCGCGGGAAACCGTTGGATTTTAACCCGCAAATGTTCTGACAGCCCGGAGACTGCTTGTGAACCCAAAACACAGGAAGTCTGCTACAATACGGCACAAGCTTTCGTTGAAATAGAGAAACATTCATATACAATTGTAATATACTTGGCTTACTGCTGCTAACGGATACCCAGGATCCACGTCTTCTTCTTTCCTAATGGATTTTGGCATCTGGGGATCTTCAGCATCTGCCTTAGCTTTCAATAATTCATATCTTGGTTTAGGATGATAGTTGATTTTGATTTGTTTGACTTGGTTTTGTTAAGAGAGTCGCAAATTCCACTGAAAAAAAAAAATCCTGTGGTTTTCCAGGGGCGTAGCTACAGTATAAAATAAAGGGCTTTTGCAGGGGGCCCCAAATCAAATGATATATGGTTTAATGGCTCATCCAACATAGCAACGGAAAGAGGCTTCTGTCCGTTGTTGGATGTGTCTCCATGAAGTTTGTGGAGGCAGTTACGATGCAGTACATTAGTCAAGCGTTTGGGGCACTGTAAGCTAGCTACCCCAGCGACCCGGCTTATAGTCCATTTTTCCCGCCTTGGAGAGCTTCATCTTCCTGCCTCAAGCAAATTTTAAATGTTTCTAATATGAAAACTTCCAGTTGCTAAAAGTCATGTGATTCTATTGAAGTAGTATAATTTCTCTTGCCACATTTCCAAAACTAATTCAGGGGTAAATACTTTTGTTTTAAAAGGCAGAAGGGGTGGAGTTACATGTTTGTGCAAGAAGTTTCTGATAGTAGTGAGGATGGATCAGAAAACAACTCTTAATCTGTAAATGAGGAGGAAGAAATGTTGTAACATGTAAGGTTTGCATAATTGTTTTTTTTTTTTTAACACTAAATGCACTTCCTTTACTGTTGCAGCAAGGCCAAGCTAATTTTCAACACTTCTTTTTCATGCTTTTTGGACATAAATGCGAATATTTAAAATTTGCAAATGTAAAATTAATTAAACATATGGACAACTTTACTCCATTTTCAGCCACAGTTTCAGACGTCTGGTGAAAAGGGGTAAGGTGGTTTGTAATTTTACAGTACGTCAGTGGGAAGAGGGTCCATTGTCTGGCTCCATTAGAGGAAAAGGACTGTCCAAAATATGTTCTGAACTTAGGAACCACACAGTCCCCATTGAGGCTCTGGTGTTAGCTCTGTAGAGCCACACAGTCTGACTCAGGCTCTGGTGTTAGCTCTGTAGAGCCACACAATCTGACTCAGGCTCTGGTGTTAGCTTATGTCTCGTACATGTTTTTGATACAAACTTGTTTCGGTCGGATTCCCTTTGTATGATTCCAAAAACCTAAAAAAAACAAACAAACAAAGTAATTGTTCTAGTATTGATCTGATGTGTGTGTTGTGCCACAGGAATACACGGTGGACGTGTTTTTCCGCCAGAGCTGGAAAGACGAGAGACTCAAGTTCCACGGACCGATGAACATCCTGCCCCTGAACAACCTGATGGCCAGCAAGATCTGGACCCCTGACACCTTCTTCCACAACGGCAAGAAATCTGTGGCCCACAACATGACCATGCCCAACAAACTGCTGCGCATCATGGAGGACGGCACCCTGCTCTACACCATGAGGTACCACTCCCACTGTCAATCAGGTGGTGCTAAAGGCTGAGGCACAAATGTGTCTCCAGGCCGCATTTTAACATCCCAATGAAGGAGATGATTGGTCAATTTGACAATATATGCCTTCACAGAACCTCTAAAGCAGTCTTCCACAACCTGTTTGAGCCGTGACATACCTTTATCATTGAAAACAATCACCCGGCACAGCACTGGCTGAAAGTGATACAACAATTAAACTCAGATTAATTTAACAATGCAAGTCAATCTCCTCAAAGTGTGTGCATAGAAGATCAAAGAAGGGCAAAAAAGTCTTTCTAATCTTGTGGCCAAACTGACAGATTGATCTGATCCGTCAGACTGACCACGAGTCCCCAATGTGAGCAACGGTTAAGGCTCTGTGTGCTCCACCTTTTGATTTCATTCGCTGCTCGGTCTGACAGATCAGATTGTCTTATCATAAGAACTCTCTAAGCCGTACATAAGGAGACATACTGTACATTGTGTACAACCATGAAACTGTAAAATGTGAGTTGTCACGTTGTGATTGCCATTGCTGCTTGAACTAAATGGAAGTAAATCAGGGCAGGCGAGATATGGTAAGTAAGTAAGTAGTAAGTAATCTTTATTTATATACCGCCTTTTCACTGCACATCGGAGTCTCAAAGCGGTTTACAATTGTTATTTTTTGGGAGTGGGGGTGCCAGTACAGGAGGCACATGCCAGACCTATTGTACATACATATTTTTAGTGGTAGGGGAAACCGGAGCACCCGGAGGAAACCTACGCAGACACGGGGAGAACATGCAAACTCCACTCAGAACCGGGATTCAAACCCAGGACCTTCTTGCTGAGAGGCGAGAGTGCTATCCACTCAGCCACCTTCACCACGCCTAATGGTATCAGGGTGGTGAAGGTTATCCCAGGGGTCGGCAACCCGCGGCTCTGGAGCCACATGTGGCTCATTAGTGCTCCTCGAGTGGCTCCTGGGGCCTTTTCAAAAATGTCTGAAAAACATTCTTAACGTTTTTCAATGCTGTAAAAATGTGCATAGAAAATATTAAATTTCATGTTTCAACATATCATATCCTGTGACGCGGCCCCACGCCAGGCGGCCGCTGGTAAACAAACCAGCGTGTGTGCATGGATCCCAAAGCTAAAAAGAGAGGAGTCGATAAGAACTGAGGATTCAAGAAAGAATGGACTGAAACATTTGCTTTTATTGCCAATGATGAAGGACTGCTTCATGTTTTCTTTGTAAAGAGCACAAAACACTGTTTGCTGTGTAGAAACCCGTCACCCATCTATCAGCTGACCTGGCTGCCAACAGATCACATTTACTGTTGGCACGACAGAGTCGAGAATTAGTTAATAACTTACACTAATAACTATTTGATATTCATTCTGAGATTTAATTAAGAATTAATACATAAAAATAGAACTCACAATGATTAATTCATTATCATAAAATCTGAACATTTGAATAAACACACACAATAGTAAACTAACTTTTTTACCATGTTGAAACTCACACTTAACGACTTGTTTAGATTAATCCCCTGACTGGATCACAGACATTATGCCGGGGGACACGGCGCGTTGCTGGAGTCTCTGGGTCATCAGTCGAGCCTCACCTCTCCCAGAATCGACACAGTGCCCAAGTATTACAGTGGAGCAATACAAGCGGATACTCCTGCAGTGCTGGGTGGTTTCTCAGAGATACACTGAGCCTAGAACCTGAGTATGTGGATTTATATGGACCTGGACCAAAAATGGTCTCAAGTCTGGCCTATCTGTTGGGTCTAATACTTTGTAAATATCCGAAATGTTTAACCTTTAAAAAATGGATTTCTCACAGCTTTCTAACCACCTGTGTGTTCCACTCCTTTATTACGTGAAGGATTAATTTGTTAAAATATCGGAGCACCTATTTTTAGACTTCAAAAACCTCCCCAAAGACGATGAAAGAAAGGTCCATTAAAGAACATTAATTCAGCTCCAGCAAACTTCAGACTGTGACGTGGTCGATATGAACAGACAGTGCTGTAATGTAGGTATGTGAACAAAAAGTCCCAACTGACTCATTCTACCCACTGTTTTTAATGCACTGCACGTGTAGGGCCTACATACATCAACATGTTAAAATGAAATAACAAAACGTTTGAGTAGAAATGGTAATGTGCCTTTAACACATGACTATTTATGGTAACGTGTGTCAATTATAATTAAGATAGATAATTGACATTTATAAGTTTTGTAAGAATTGAACTGAATCATTTGAAATTCTGTAAGAGAAAAAAATAGGTAAAAAATAGCGGTGGGAAAAATACGTTTTACTTCTACCTACTCCTTTTCAAATGTGTGTATAAATGTATTTATGTGTTTTTATTTTCCTATTGTTTTGTACAATTAATCATTAAAACATTGAAATAAAGACTACTTCTACAACTACTACTACTACTTCTAAAACTACATTAGGAACTTCATATCTTTGATTGGCATTGATTTTGAACAATCCAACTCTTGTCTGTGAGATTGAAATGGTTTTCCTCTGTGTCCAGGCTGACTGTTCAAGCCGAATGCCCCATGCATCTGGAGGACTTCCCTATGGACTCTCACTCCTGCCCTCTGAAATTTGGAAGCTGTAATTCTCCTCGTTTCTCCTGCATGACATCTCTATTCAGTCTCCTCTTTTTAAAACAATGTTATCTTTTCTTTGAGGCCTAAAGCATGTGTGCATATTAGACGGATCTCACTGTGTTTGCGCACGTGCAGCAGACATGTTAGCAGTGATCATCATCCTTGCTCTTCCTCAGATGCCTACACCAAAACAGAAGTGACCTACATCTGGACGCGAAATGCCAGCGAGTCCGTGGAGGTCGCGCCAGACGGATCCAGGCTGAACCAGTACGACCTGGTGGGGCAGACGGTGGGCAAAGAGGTCATCAAGTCCAGCACCGGTGAGGAGCTTTGTAGGATAAAAAAAGACTGAAATTAACTGAAGAGAGAGAAAGGGAAAGAGAGATGTGTACCTGTGTGTGTGTGAGAGAGAGATGTGTGTATGTGTGTGTGTGAGAGAGAGAGAAAGAGAGCGAGAGATGTGTGTGTGTGTGCGTGTGCGAGAAGAGTAGGGAAAGAGATGTGTGTATGTGTGTGTGTGTGTGTGAGAGAGATATTTTTATTTAAAAAAAGAAATACAAATACAATTTTGTTTTCAAAATATCCAATTAATATTTTTATTTTTTATTTTTACCATTGAGACCAAAGCTTTGAATGGTGACTCATACAGGTCTTCCTCAGTATGCAAAGGGAAATATGTGCGAACGTGTGCAGCTGACTCAATTTTGGTCTCAAAATGTGTGATACAAGGAGGTTTTGGCAGTAAATAATTTTAAATCACTAGACTAGAATTTTATAATAATCCAACACATATATTATACTCACTGGGTTTTTAGAGTTGTTTCTGGCTGATACAGGAAGGTCCAAGGACAATGGTGATGATCCAGAACCCTCATCATTGAACAACTATACAAACATTTATCTACATATTTATGGACAAAAATGTGTTTTTCTATCATTGCATTTCTTGTGTTTGATATTCTGATCAGCGTCGACAAATTAGTCCTCCGAGATAACTGCTGTTGTGATTTAGGGCTATACAAAAACCTTAAAAAAAAAACCTGCACTGCTATTCCCACTCTTTCTTTTATAGCCATTTTTTGTACATAATCATATGCTGCGCAGACTATATTTTTTAACCTTAACATGATTGCACACTTCTGTCTTTTGCACCATCTGAGTGATTCTAACTTTGTTGTTGTCACACTGGAGAAATGTACATGTCACATTTCTCCAGTCTGACAACAGTAATAATCATATCTTATCTCACAAAGATTAATTGAGTTGAATTGAACTGTAACCATTGCAGACCAACGCTTATATGTGAACTTTTACCGTACATTTCCAGGTGAATACACGGTGATGACAGCCCACTTCCATCTGAAGAGGAAAATTGGTTACTTTGTCATTCAGACATATCTGCCGTGTATCATGACGGTCATCCTGTCCCAGGTTTCCTTCTGGCTCAACAGGGAGTCTGTGCCCGCCAGGACCGTGTTTGGTGAGTCACCCATGACTCTAGTCTTGTTACTAAAAATACGATTTGCATAGGAACAAATGACAAGGTGGTTTCAAATAAGGCCGCACATCCCTGTGGTCTGGACTATCGTGCTGGATTCAAAAAGTGCAAAATGTGAAATAGTGAAAAAAATCCGCACAGCTATGTTGCTCCCAATAAGTGTCTTTTATTTACTGACCACGTGGTAGTGACGTTTCAGGCTGAGACGCTTCATCAGACATAGCTGTGTGGAGTTTTTTTGAGAGAAATGTAGAAATGGTTGAAAGTGTAGAAAATTTACTTGATTGATCCTCCCACATAGCAAGTATTTGTTTTTGTTTTTTTAATTTAATGGCAGGGGTGTCAAACTCATTTTGGTCATGGGCCAATTTTAAGAAGATAAAAAAGCGATTTGAGGCCAAAAGTATTTTTTTGTTGTTGTTGAGTATTATTATTAATATCATTATTTTCTAGTATGTTCAGATTCAATCACAACTGACTTAGATATCAAAACAAAATATAACAACTATCAATTCTGCAATAACGCTGAAAGACCAAGGCCGCATCTGTGTCGAAGGAGCAGCCATCTTCCCGTGGACCCACCACCTGCAGGAAGATTAGCGTGGGACTGGTGCTGTGTGAATTGGGTGGCAGTTCTGATTGCCACCCCCCTGACCCAGAAATGGAAAATAAAGGGATGTAAATGAAATGAAATGAAATGAAATGAAATTCTGCAATTACTGAAATAATGATCATTTGAAATCATTTCAGGGGCCACTAAAGATTTTCTCACGGGCCGAATTTGGCCCACAGGCCTGAGGTTGACATGCCTATTTTATTGAGTTGTCTTTCACGTTACATACAGCATTGAAGACACAATATTTGTTTTATTTATTTTTAAATCCCTTTCCTCCCACTATCCTCCCCTTGTGCCAAACAATACATATAGGTAATAATATAGTACAGTGTAAAACAATAGCAACTAAATAGATACAAAATAAATGATAATAATTATTATTGTGTGTTCATGTTTTCCCCCACGTGTTGATCCTGTTTTTAGTTCGGATTTTTCTTGCTTGATTTTTACCCTGGATTTCTTTAACTCACATATTCACACATTCGCACATTTTGAGTCATTATTTCTTTTAAAACCATGATGTGAACAACTTAACCTCCAGGTCAAAATGTTCCAAATGTTTCTGCGTGCTGTAATTGTGAAGAACTAAAATCCAGTGGAAAGAACAATTGTTGAAACTAATGTCCGTTATTTCTCCAGGTCAAAATGTTCCAAAATGAGAGATGATAATTGTCCATAAATGTTAATAAATAAGTCTTGGATAATCAGCACTGTCCTTGGACCGTCCTGCAAAGACAATATCAAAATAAAAAAATCTGAATCGCAAAGAGATTTTTAGCCCAAAGTGTCAAATGCTGGCTCACAAGTATATAAAAGATGTGTTTACAATTTATTCTTGTACAGCCTAAATCGCAAAAGTAGTTTTCCTCTGAGGACTTTACAAAACCGCCAACTTTGCCAAAACAGATCAGAGAACCAAACAGGTAAAACACAAGGCATGCAATAATAAAAGACAGTTTCAGATTTCTATGACAGTATTGAGTATTTTTCTAGTATCATAAATGTACGCTTCTGTCGACCCACTTCTAGGAGTGACCACGGTGCTGACCATGACCACTCTGAGCATCAGCGCCCGGAACTCTCTGCCCAAAGTGGCCTACGCTACAGCCATGGACTGGTTCATCGCCGTGTGCTACGCCTTCGTCTTCTCCGCTCTCATCGAGTTCGCCACCGTCAACTACTTCACCAAGCGCGGCTGGGCCTGGGACGGGAAGACCGTGGTGGAGGACAAGGTGCTGACACTCAATTCAAATCATGACGCCTTAATAATTCATTTTGGTTTGATTCTGTTTGTTTGTGGAGAGCCTTAATCACAACAGCAGTTCTCTTGAAGGACTTTCCAGAGAGTCCAGATCAGAGAATCAAACCGTTGAAATACAGGAAATGCAATCATAACACTGAAAAATAACTGCTGGCTAGATTTTGTTAAATGCTAAATTTTGGCAAGAATCTACCTACATTTGAGCACGTTCTGACTGCCTATATTATAACAAGGTTTGTCAATTTGGACAAGAACAATTTTCTTGTTTTAAAAAGATACCTCATAACCTGGCTCAAGGCCATGACAAATGTGGATGCAGACAACGGAATGGGATACTTAAAGGGTGTTTTCTTTTAAAAGAAGATTAACCCAAGTAGACATAATAATGAGGTGTGACTGTCTGTTGGATCAGTGGTGTATGCGAGTGAATGGTTAGGTGTTCGTATGGTGCTATGTGAGGTGTGATGTGGAACAAAACCATAACGGAAACAGAAAACAAAGTGGTGTGGCACAGGATGCAGGCTGAGAGAGGGTGAGACTGTCAGCAGGCAGGGCCATAAATAGGCGTGGCCCACAGCTCCACCTGCACACAGATCCACAAGGCAGAACCGAGCACGACCACAGAGAGGGGGAAGGGGTCGTGACAGATACAAAAATTGTCTCGCTTGCATTGAAATAAAAATGCAACAGTTCTAGAAATAAAACTAAATGGCTCTGTCCCATTGGTAAATCTTTTTTGAAGAATTGAATATAGCATGAAAAATCACTTGATTCTAGCGATTATTACTTCATTTATTTTTACCTATCTTGGGGAGGCCCGTATAGAGAGAGGGATCCACTCCTATGGACAGACAGACTATAACAGACAATAGCAACAGGGAATGAAGTTGGTTGGTGAAGTCCTGAAACAATTCAAATAAAAAAACTATTATATTAAAGGTAACAAGAAATAAGTCAATATTTTATGACATGTTTACTTTAAAGTTGGGGTACCTAACTTTCAAGCCACCAAGAGAAAACAAAACATATACTGTATGGGTGGATTTACAGCCTCAAAAGTCCATGTACTTCTGAATTTCAACTCACAATGTGACACTTATACATGACAGACTCACTTCACAAAGTGAAATAGAGCAAACCTTTCCTCGTTATGATGTTTATGTACATAAATAATATTCACTTCAATTCAATTCAAAGAACTTTATCCGTGAAGAACTTCATTTGCAGACGGAGCACCAGTGGGGATGCATAAAAACAAAGAAATACTAAATATAATAATATTAAAGTGCAGCATTAAATAAAAAAGATCATAATCTCCTTCAGCAAAAACAGACCATCTCCCAATCAGCTGCTTAAAAGACGAATTGCATGTATAAACTGCTACAACTCCTACTGCTACACTGTCCCCGCAGAGAAAGGAGATGGCCATCGTGAAGAAGAACAACGCCTATGCCGTGGCGGTGGCCAACTACTACCCCAGCCTGCCCAGGGACTCCCCCATCCCCACTATCTCCAAGTGCGCCCCCTCAGACCCCATCAAGAGCCCGGCCCTTACCGTCACCAAGACCGAACAGCCCAAGAAAACCTTCAACAGCGTGAGCAAGATCGACCGCCTGTCCCGCATCATGTTCCCCGTCCTGTTCGGAGGCTTCAACCTGGTCTACTGGGCCACCTACCTCAACAGGGAACTGGTGATTAAGGATATGGAGACTTTTAGTTAGGCTTGGTTGCACTACACACAGACCCAAGCCTTTGTAGCGTTCTATGGGGCTGCTAAAGGGAAGAGCATACAAACTCCCCTAGTGGGGTACAGTGGCATTACAGGGGGTACTTGAAATTCGTTTTGAAACACGCAAAGATTGATAGTAAAAGGTAACTCGTTTTGTTATTAAACGTCTAAAGTATTGCGGCATCAGGATGGAAGTTTAATCTATCCTATATAAATCTGGCATTTGAAAAAAAAAAAATGCTTGGAAAGTGAATATTGTAAAACATTTGTAGCGTTTGATGGGGTTGCTTAACTCATTGTGTGCCATTGACGCACAAATACGTCAAAGTAAATAGTAACGTTGACGCATTAATACGTCAATTGCCTTTCCCGCTATTTTCATGTTCCCAGATGTCTATTGTTCTAATATGTATGGGGATTGGCTTGAGACCATATTTTATCTAGCCAGCAGGTGGCAGCATTGCTCTCTGAATGGTTTGAAAACAGCTAGATGCACATGTTGTGCCTCTTTTTTCTCAGCTTTCTGGTGATTTCAGTAAAACTTCCCTCTACTCGACAGAGGATTACAGGGGAACGAAACAAGCAAGAAACAAAATTATTTTTGCTGAGGAAAGTAGACAGTCCATTCTTTTAGAATCTGATGTCGGATTTCAGATAGTCATAGTACACAATATTCTGTGGGTCTTTAAAAATCAGTAAAAAACCATCAGAAACGGCTGGCAATATGGAAGTACCTGTTCTGAAATGGGCTGGCAGTCGATGAGTAGTGAGCAGAACATGCAAACACCCCCAGTGGAGCACGGCGGTATTACAGGAGGTACTTGAAATTTGCTTTGAAACACGCAAACATTGATATTAAAAGGTTAAATGTAATATTTTTTAGTCTAAATCGTGTCTACATCGACCCTCAGATAATAGTTTTGTTTGTTTATTGTAATCCTCATTAGTGAATGCTTTATTTTTCCTGGGGTCCAATAAAAAATTAGGTGGGTTTAAAATATAGAAAATTTCAATGATACGCAATTATAGTTGTACTAAAATGTCTGGAATCTTGTAGTCAAATCTATCGTCTATACAAAACTGTTATACATTCTGAAGTTATGGTTCATTTTTTTTTTTTTCACAATTCTGGCTTATATTACTTAATTTGTAAGTGGAGTTAGATTTAATTAAAAACACAATAGATATGATCATGTCTGTAATATTTATGTTTACGGCTTTCAAGCAGATTATCCAATCAGAGAGCAAAATGAGGCTCTCGTTTGGGTTGCCAGTTTGATAGATGAAAATTAGCTGATTTCGGCTCTTTTATTATTACTTCTTGAATGGCAAAATTCACAAAATAAACCTAAAAAAATTCAAGCACACCTGTACAAAAAACGCACCTGCAAAATTTTAAACAATTTTAAAAACACCTTTTTTAACTGGACACATGTTTTAATTATGATAATCAAAGCACTCGTATCTATTCTAATCCAATCTGTTTTTACAATAACATTCTTATTTCTCTCTTTAGCGAGCAACTCAGGAGAATACACAGCTGAGCATTTGAGTGTTTGTTTGGTGCCATCCCATTAACAGCCCCATAGTCCCAGTGGTCACATAAAAACCATTCTACATTCCACACGACGAAGGCCAAACTCAGTCACCGTAATGTCTCTTGTCACCTGCCCGTCAGTGTCAGCCAATCACTGCCGAGCACTGTTAGCATCTGAAAGGACTTGTTGTTCTTTTTGACGGCTATTTACAGTTAAACTACACAGCACTTATCTCCCATTGTGTTTTTTATGCTGCAATATTCATTTGATCCAAACCAATTTGGTGCCGAGTCATGTCGCCAAAGCAAGATTAAGATTAAGATTAAGATTAGGGGATCCTTTATTCGTCCCACAGAGGGGAATTTTCAGTGTTGCATCAACGGTTACAGAACCGTAGGAATGAGGAGCACACAGCACAAGATAAACTCTATACTAAAACGAGATTAAATAAAATCGTTAACAGAGCAAAATAAATGAGCAAGTGTAAAATCTCTATCTTTAGCATAATGAAGAAGCAAGTAAAAAATCTATCACAAGCATAATTAAGAAGCAAGAATTAAGTATAAAATATCCAAAGCTCCAGTGTGTACTATCCTTGTGCACACTGGGACACTCTTGCACAGTTATTCCAATGTGGTTTTACTGCAAATGGCAAAACAAAAATTATATATCAAAAACCCACGTCCAAAGTTGCATTTAATGTCAAACCAAGCAGGAGCACACCACACAACAAACATTCCTCAAGTGAGTCCAGTCTTAACCTGAAGACCTGAGGAAATGGGTGGAGTCTGGTGTGCTCCTGCTTGGTTGGAAAGAAAACTTGCTGTCACGTCAGCTCTTTCTGAAGCGAGTTTGACACCCCTGATCTAACTAACAGAATACTGCTTTTGAATCCAACATGTTTTTAGTTGTTGTTGACAAATGAAAGTAGATCAAGAGAAAAAAATGTATTAATCCTCATACAGCGTACTATAAAAAACATGCAGAAATGTAGCAAAATAAAACTTGACTGGATGTTGGCAAAGATAGGTTAAAGCTGAAGAACTAAATAATACAATCCATCTTTTATTAAAATTAGTGGCACAAGGGTAAAGGAAGTCTTATACTGCAGAGATGATGAGGCTGCGAGTGTGAAGCGAGATGATCAGGACTCCAGCTCCGGGCGGACATGGGGAGAACACACAGGAACCAGAACGTTGACACCTTTTAACTAGTTTCTTCTTTCAATCAGGTTTTTCCAGAAAGAAAATGGTAAAAGTGAGGACCACCCACTCAGCCAATCAGCTCTCAGCCCAAAGTGTTAACTGGAGACTCACAGCGATTGTTCTTATAAATACAAAATATATATCAAGTTTTCTACAAAGATGAGGTGAACATGTTGTGGCCTGATATTTTCACTAAAACTTATTTTTAGGATAAACAACACATAAAGAGTACAAACGCAAAAAAAAAAAAACAGTTTGGAAATAAATTAAGGAGAAAAAAGCTATATTTCTTCAGTTTCAATCTTTTTGTTATGGGCAGTAAATGTACACAGTTTTACGCAACAAAGGAGAAACGTACTTATATCTGCATTAAATACAGTGTATATCTGGATTCTCTGCTTGGTAAAAGGAAAAAGCCAAAAACGTTATTCCTCAAATTGCTTTAATCTGTTTTTGTAAAGTTGCTCTTCACAAAAAAAAAACTTGTTTCAAAATGTCTTCCCGTTATTTGATTTTGATTTATTGACAAAAGTTTACAGCAGCAGCAGCAGCAGCAGCAGTAGTTGCAGCAGTAGTTGCAGCAGTAGCCCCCTCCTTTCAGCCTTTTGTGCCACTAATGAGGAGCAACTTTTTGGCTTGTTTACAACACAACTTATTTGTGTAGCACTGTACAGTATTTTGTACGCACTATTCACAGAAAGGCATGTTTGTCGAGGGAACATTTTGTGCAGAAGTGAAAGTCTATTCCTTATGTTGTGATTCCCGTCTCGTTTGAAACCTCAACATGTTGTTCCATGTTTTTTATTTTACAGTGTTTTATATTCTGTTTTCAAGACGCCATAACTCGGACAATCTGCCACAGTTCGTTGATTGCTTTGTATGTATTCTCCAATGCAGGGGTTCTCAAGTTGTGGAGCAGGACAGAAACATGGGTCGTTTTCAGTGGAGAGTTTTTGGACAACATTAGAAACAATTGACCAGTACACTGCAAAAATAGTAGTGAAAGAAATAACAGTTTTGTTGAAAAAAAAGCCCCTGATTTAAGAAAGTAACTTTCATACATTTCTCCAAAATGCAAGATTTTATCCTGAAATTAAAGAAAAAAAATCTAATTTGACAGAAAATGTGGTTAAATCTTTAAATCCATATATGTGAAACACTACACATGTACGTTACTGAACTCAAAACCAAATTATTTATCTACAAGTGTCTCTTTCTTGAATCCAGATGAAGTCCTTTCCTTTTAAATCTTTCTAATTTTACTCATTATAAAACAATCCTTTGTGGAAATTAATATCTGACATTATTTACTGACTAAAGTCAGTTCTGATATACTTAGTGCAAAGCCATGACGCAGCTTCTCGGCACAAAGCCTGTAGATGCTGGGATTTCCTGGGCCACCTTGCATTAACTTCACTTCTCTGCCCAGAGCGGCTCAATGACGTTATCACTCGATAGAAAATGCTCAGGACAAATGTAGGGGTGCTTTGTCACTGTGAGTTTGCACAAAGTGCTGTATAAATAAACTATTACTTAGTTAAGGAAGGTTTCTCACCCATCATCTGTACTTCTTAGCAAGTTTTCCCGACGTTTCGTCCTCAACCTGGGGACTTCTTCAGGGAATGAATTCTCGGGCCGCGCGTTGGAGATTTATAACCTATGGGTGTGGTAAGCCACACCCTAATCCTGATACTAACTCGTAAACAATCTCAGGTCTGCTTGATGTAGAAGGGGAGCAGGTCTAACGACCCTGCTGAGGCTAACGACCCTAACTCATTAGCATGTCACAGACCTATTGTCTGCTGGGATGCTCAAGTGGAGTGCAGGTTTCACCCCTCCTAACTCATTAGCATGTCACTGACCTTGTCCCAAGTTAGGGCGTTGTTTTTAGGATGTCGTCATAGATGCGAGGCAAAACAAATCTTAACCCTCCTCCTCTGTTAAGAGAAGGTTTTTGTTTCCTCACAAAAATGGCTTCTTTCACCCCTCTCTCAAACCAATTCTTCTCCCGAGCCAGAATTTTAACCTCTGTGTCATCCACCGTGTGGTTGGAGGCCTTGAGGTGGAGATGAACAGCCGACTGTGGCCCACTAGAGTTTTCTCTACGATGTTGGTAAAGTCGTTTCTGTAGAGTTTGTTTGGTTTCTCCAATATAGTGGTCAGTGCACTCCTCTTCACTACATTTAATTGAATACACCACATTGCTCTGTTTGTGTCTGGGTGTTTTGTCTTTGGGATGCACTAATTTC